TATCTACTATTATATAGTATTATATTTTATATTACGGTTATTACTTTCAAAATTTATTAAATTAACGAAATTATGTTAAATATTATTTACTTAATAATAAATAATTGGTTTTAAATCCGTTAAGAATTCTAGTAAAAATCCTCTTCCTCCTAATAGTTATTAAATAATAGATTTCTAAAATTAAATAGTAAATTAGAATTGACGGTAGTAGTAGGGAGATTATTAATATTATTATTATTCCTTATAATAGCGGCCGTAGTACCGCCTATATTTTTGAACTGTATTAGAGCCTTTTTCTTATTAATTTAAATATTAAGTACCTTATTAGGATCGTACTACTAATAGTTAGAAGTGCCAAGAATATAGTAATAACTATGCAAGAAATACTTTAAACTTTTATAAATCTTCTTACTATAAATATTATAAATTATATATTCGTTACTACTCTTAATCTTAATTTTCTTAATCTCCTTCATAATTTCTACTTTTATAACGACTATATTAGTATACTTCTTTTAAATGTTAGCTAAGGTAGAGAATTTAACTACGCATAATATAGTTATTAACTCGTTCTTATTTATATCAGCGGCCTATAATATAGTTTCGTTAAAAAAGGAACGCTTAACCATATTAAATAAATTAGTAAATTTAATCATATCATTAATAATATATCCAATATCCTTAATACGCTTATATAAATATTACCAACGTATAAAAAAAGCCTCTAAAGTGATAAAATAAATATATTTAATAATTTAATACTTATTAAAAACGTCGTTCTTAACCTCGTTAATAATATTAAAAATACTACTCTTAATAAAGTTGAAAAGGTATTTCGGATTATTATTATCTTCGTTCTAACTATTAATAGAAAGGACGTTTTAAACTTTTTTATTACGAATAGTAGAATTAATAATAGCCATAGCCTTAGCGCAGTCTATATACCATTAATAAATATATTTCTTATTTTTACTTTTAATTTTATTATTAATTTTAAGTTCTTCGTTAGTTTTAATAATATAGAATTTAAAACCGTAGGAGGCGAGCTCAACCTTTAAAGCTCTAGCCTAAGCATCGATATTAGACTTACCCTTTAAAGGAATTAAAGTAGCGGCGTTAAAAGATATAGTACTTTAATCTCTATTATTTCGAATGAAAAAGTTGTACTAGTTTTCGTTAATTGTATTTTTACTTATTGTAATTTTAAGAATGGTAGTATAAAGGTAGACGTACTTTAAATCACCTATAATCTTTATTAATCTTATCGTTTAATAATCTCTATTTTTAGGTTTTTAATGCTTTTACCGCTCGATAAAGGTTGTTAATTCGTAAAGGGTACTTATAAAGCGACGTATATTCAATGTTGTAACGACGCGGGGTTTTATTCTTTAGGGTTTTATTCTTTAGGCGACTCGTATTCGATATTACTCGTCTCTTAGAATTTTCAATATTCGTAATAGTTGTACGTAACGATACGATACAATGCGATCGCGTATAGAGGGTTTATAACTTTTTGTACTCGTGGGCTTAAGAAGTGTGTGTTGATTATGCTAAGTTAAGAAGATAAGAAAGGAAAAGAAATGTGGAGGACTAAAATATATAGTGGTGCGGGCTGACTGGGCCTACCTGATAGACAATGCTAGTGAATGGCAGAGAGGTGAGACAGACCCCACCATAATAGTTTAATTAGAGAGCTATAGAGAGGTAATATAAGGAGTAGCTAGTTGAAGAGAAAAAGTAATTGATGGCCGTTAGGGTATATAATAAGAAAATTTAGAAGTAGTTATATAATGAATAAATTAAGGATCTGATTAACGGTAAGGGGAAGGTTATATAGAAGGTTTACCTTAATAATTGGAAAAAAAGAGTAATTGAAAGACGGCTATATACCAGTTTATAAGGAAGATATACTTAATGACAACGAGAAGGGGGATAAGGAAGAAGGGGGAGGGTTATTTATACGGGATATATAGGGTATACTAATACTAAAGGTCTTTAAAAGGGTATAGGGTAACCCCTCTTATTTCTTTTCTAATAATTCTAATATTAATATTAATTTGGGTAATAATCCCTCTACCGTTTAATACCCTTTTATTATTCAACTTTCTTCTATTTAACTTTTAGAAGTCCTATCCTCCCCTCCCTACCTTCGCTCTCAACCTTACGTTATTAAAACGGGCTCTTAAGTTGCCGCTTATGTTAATATTCAAATTATCAACTGGATAGAGGATCCCATCCCTAAGTTTGCTGCCGATATCGTTGCTCGTTTTAATATATAGATAGTTAACGCTATATTCGAAGACGAGAGTACTCTTATCAATAATAACGAGGACGAAGCTATTCTTAAGGCAGTATACGATAGGGAAGACGATAGGGAGGAGGAGGAGGAGGAGGAGGAAGATGAGGAGGAGGGGTATACCTTACCGCTACTCCCGCTAGTCAACCGCCGTCTCTTTAAATTGTTTACTATATTAAAACCTCCCGCTATACGAGTTAGGCTATTAATACTAGCCGTTGACCCCTCTACTCTATTAAAACTATGGTCTTTAGAATTAATACTATATTGGAGGGTTATAAAGTATATTGAGAGTACTATAAGACTTCGTATATAGATACGAAAGTAAATTGTACGTATTAAGAATATACTAGTAAGGAGAGAAGTAGTCGTAGAGGAGGTAGTATTAGCACTTGTACTAGTAGAAGAGGTACCAGTACTTATACTAGTACCTATACTAGCGCCAGAGAATACTAGAAAAGACTAAAACTCATTCCTTTATTTACTTACTACCTAATTAAGCAATATATTAGACTTCATATAGCTTTAAATAACGTTGTATTGATGTGTAATGTAGTGCTTCACTATGGGGATGGGACAATTTGCTAGTGGTTTACTATGTGGGCTGTCCTAGACTAAAAGTTTGTCCCATACAAAAATTTCCCCCTCTTTTATAAGAGGGGGTTGGCAAAAGGCTCCACACCAAGCCATCGCTTACCCCCAAGTACTGCACAGATATGCACAATATGCTTCTGGATTCAAGTTTCACCCCAGATCCCGACCTTCAAACTGACGTTCGGTTAACCTGAATCTGGGGCGTCTACATTACCGGGCGCGGCATGCGACACCGGAACCGAGTGTGGGATTCCAGGCCTTGAAGGAGCGGGCCGAATAAATCGACTGTGTGGATCCCATACAAACTGACAGCCAAGACCCAAAGCTTGGCATTTTTGGCATCGCTCTCGCGCGGCAGCAACCATCACCAACATAAATCCTCACCAGAAGACATTGTTTTGAACCACGATAATGAGAGCTCAGAACTACCTTTTTCAGAGCGCTGAACTCTCATTCACAGCGGGGGCCTCTCACCGGCCCCCTGCACCCCCGGAACTAACCCTAACACTAACCTTGGGGGTGGCTCGCGAAAAGCTACACAGTCGATTTATCCGGTCCGTGAAGGAGTGATCTTTACAGCTTGGCTCGACACCATGTTTTCTGGATAATCTAGAGCACGCTCGTCTTTCGTGAATCCCGCGGTCCTGAAAACATCAAGAGGCTTATCTACAGTATTTCCACCCCGGAACCCAAGTTGATACCGTTCAGTTCTTTCGTTGATGTCCGTCATGGATCTTGAGTTGCCACATCCCCCGGGAATGGTTCGAGCCTTCCCAGTTTGAGCTTCCACAGCCTTGACAACCATAAGTTTTCGTACCGGTTGACCGGGGAGGGGGAGAGATCTCAATGTACGCTGTAACTACAGTCACACCAATCACCACATGCCTCCTCGTCCAACTCTTATGCATGTCACACAACACCGTCACTTGGTGTGGTGATATCAGTGGCATTGAGAGCAACCTCCAAGCTGGACCAATATAAGCATCTCGGACATCCCGAGTGCGGCCACACATTGTTCGTTCACGAGGCCGTTGATGGCGTATCAAAATTGATGCTTAAAGGTCACTACAATCCGGCTGATGAAAATTCATTCGTGGGCACCCAAATCGAAAGTGTTGATGAGCGCGAGGGACTTCCCTCATAGTCCCCCCTTCAACTAAAGGGACCGGCAATATCGCGACGGTTACAGCTTATAAAAATGAAGTGACGTAGTCGAGCTACACTACGGTAGAAGGACCGAAACAATGAATATCGAGCTCACGTAAACCGAGTATCTGCGTGTTCCTGTTAGCACTGTCGCTCTCGTCTCCGTTAACGGCACGTTCAGAGCGCCCGCTGAGCCGGTTGAATATTTACCCATACCCTCGATGCCGAGCGAGAGATAACAACCACCATGCTCCAGCATATCAGAGACATAATCTGAACATGGCGATCTCGCAGCTTTATGGCTAATTAAAGAAGTTCGGCCCGGAAACATATGATATGGCAGGCCATGAGTGAGATGGCAGGGAACGACATGAACATAATCACGGAACATCAACAGCTTCGATCCTTCCGATCGGGAATTCACAAGCAAAGGTCGGGTTGTAATCGGCCGAGGAAGTGAGTTCCACGAATTTCACTTCTGGCATGCCAACGTGACTACTTGACTTCTTCCATTGCTCTTTCCCCTTCTTCTTTTCATGCTCCTGCCGTCGATTGACGCGGATTGACAAGGAACCTTTCTGCCTCGTTCTTTCCATTCCTCTGGCCACGATTTCAACATTGTTCTTGCCGTTTCTCTCTCACCTTGCCAGGGCCAAGCCCCAAATGGACACAAAAGCATTTCGCAATTTTCAAGATGGCGGATATCCTTTAGTGTATTAACCGAGGCCTAACCAACACCGAAGTATCCTATCGCGAATCTTCTCGCAAGCCGATTTCTTCCCAATATCAAGACGACTTTTCTCTTTTAATGCCCGAAGCGCGCCCAAACCAGGAAGACGTCTGAGTCGCCGAAACCAAGCCGTCTTTCAGAGCATCAGGTTGAAGAAAGGGGTATCAAGTTTTCACTGACTACTCTTCAACCTTGTAGTGTGTTATCCCGCTTGCTACCTGCTTGCGGAAAGGTTTATAATTCCTCCAGAAGAGGAGCAGATCCCGTGCTAAGAGAAGCTATAAGACGACGCAGATGTCCCCCCTCATTGGGCGACTCCGACACATCAATCATGCCATCCTCGTCCACGCCAACGACAAACGTAGACTTCCCCTGGTCCTCACGAATCCCCTCTCTTCTATCAAGATACTCCTTCACCACGGGGACGCTGATGTCCCGGCTCACCGTGTTGGCAATGCTCCGAGCCCCCAGCTCAGGGGTGTAACCGTACGTCACCAATGCTCTGCAGACCGAGTAGCTGCGTCGAACTTGGACGTCGAGGTCCCCCACTAGCCGAGCCTGGTTTGGCACGGTGCTCTCTTTGACTGGTTTGATCACCTCACTGCCAAAGCTCGCGAGGAATCTGTCTGCCACTGCGACTTACTCGCTGTGCGAGAAGGTCAGGAATGGGACAAATTCTGTGATGCGTCCTGACAATGGTGCCTTTTGCCGGTGTTAGCATGCTACTCAGCAGGTCCTTGCCCCGTTTTCTTCCATTTGCGGCGAAATGAATTACACTCACTCCGAACTTGGAGATGCTCTCTTTCTGTATCATCTTCGAAAGCTTCGTTATAAGCTTCTGCCCCTCTCGTCCGGGCTCGTCCGCAAAGAGAGTCTTGTCGTGCTTCTTGCAGAAGTTGTGGATGATGTGGTCAAACGCATTTGTTGCCAGAATCCAAATCGTCTTGGAACAGTTAATCCACTCGAGGGATTTGCGGTTACGAGTGATGCCTAGAACAGGATGTGATCATGAGTTACAACTCGGCCTCCTCCACATAAACAGGGAAGAAAAAGGGGAGACACCTACCTTCCTCAAAGGGCTTGAGAAGCGACTCCCGGACTTCATCCTCCGTCTTCTCGAATTCATCCAGGAAAACAATGCTGCGCTGCGCGGTATGTTCTGCCAGAAAGTTCGTGAGGGCGGAGCCTTTTTCCCATCCTTGATATGGGAAGTATGGCCCCCAGAGGTCCGTCACGTAACGCGTGCTGGTGCAATCGGTCATGTGCAAGTCCAACGATATGAGCTTGCCAAGATTGCGAGCAAGTTCGGTTTTGCCGTGTCCACTTGGTCCGGCAAACAAAAGAATCATTGGTCGTTCTGCTCCAAGTGCGAGGTGGCTGTGTTGGTTTAGCTGGTGTCAGCAAAGGGGAACTCCGAAGATAGCTGGTATGTTCTGATGATATGGGATATGGGGGAAAGTCCTTACCTGGTTAAGCGATCGACGACAAAGGTGATTGCGGCCGTTTGACCAACGAGGTAGTAGTGGATGCCCAGTAGGGCTTCAGCTTTGTGTAGTTTGGCGACCTGCTGCTTTGCACCTGAGAAACGCTCCAGAAGAGCGGCGCGGTGAAGAAGGTATCGCTGTTCAAAGCGAAAGTTCAGAGTATCCGTCATTCGCTTCCGAGCATAGGGGCTGCACCATTTTTGATGTTCGCCAGCTAAATCAGCAAGCTCTTCAGTTGAAGGATCATCATCCAAAAGGTCTCGCTCGAGAGGCGTGTGGAAGGCTTCGGGGATACAAGCCACAGATGCGCCAACACTTAGAAGTGCTTTGAGAAGCGCCGTCGTGTCCGTTGAATACGATGTTCCGAGGGTGATGGCATAGGCAATGAGAGGGAGCCTTCTTGTTCCGTAGGTGGTGTTGGCGTCGCCTCCGTACTCTGCTCACATTTTCACCATCTCGACATCTCGACTCTCTACAACGTAGAAGAACCCAGGAAATCCTTTAACCAGTCCGTTCAACAGTTGACGAGTCTTGTCAGCCCCCACTCGCTCCCGACAGCGTGTAAGTTGACTGCGAATCACCGTACAAGATACGCCACGTTGAATATCAGCGACCAACTTATCGAGGCTAGTCGTAAGGTCTTCGGTATCATGCTCGTTGCCTTCGGTGAATTCATAACACTGCCGACGTGTGCCATATCTGCCTTTGAAGCCATCCCCATAACCCATGGCGCTGCTTGATTTTTCGGGTACCTTCACTCGAGGAAGGGTGAAGTTCCATTCATCTTTTCCCGGCTTCGAGTAGTTCATGTCAACATTAATCGTTCTCATGCTTTCCCGGTGTTGGGCTCGGTCTAGACGACCGTATCGGCGATGGTTCGACTCACAAGAAAGGCCATCGCTTTACGGATGTTGCCGTTGGTTTTCTGCGTAGAAAGTAGATTTGTTTAGTCGGGAACTTTACTAAGAACGAACGCATGATGGTGCTTACCTCCAGTAGCCTGACCGCTTCTGCGTTCGTACACCCAGTGGCCTGCATAACCTGGATATTGGCTGGCATGTCTTTCAAAGAATTTTCTTCCAGAATCCAGACAGAACCGCCAGTACGCCTAGGATAAGGAGAGCTGACAACGGGTCTAAGATAATAGCAGCTGTCAAGGGATGATGCAAAGGATGATGAGCTAGAACAGCTTGACGGCATGCTGAAGCGTTTCCCTGTAAGCACTTTGTATATTAGCAACGGTAGGGGATGTTCTATTTCGCATAACTCGTTCTGATACCATACGTCAGTTCATCGTCACAGACAACTAAAGAGGTGAGGAAAACATACAAACGAGGATGGTGCTCACAAAAATGCACCAAGAAAAAAAAGTAAAAGACGGCGCGTATCTAAAAATGGCGAGTGCTGAGGTATGGAGATAGTCGACAGACTCGGAGGTCCTCATCCTTTCAAGACATGCTCGCTATCACACTTAGCAGCAACTGTCGTAATCAACGGGCCTCACACATGGGCTCCACATGTTGGTGTTGTTGTTGTTGTTGTTGACAGCAAACGATGAGTCCTTGCACAGAGCTTTCAACGAAGCCGGAAAATACATACATAAAACCTTTGATTGCTCATTAGCAACATTTCTCGAAGCCAATCGGACCGGGAAAATGGAAAATACTCATTGGCCCAATACAAGAATCGCCTGGTTTGTTTGTTAGCTTGGTACAAAAAACGCCAATTTCCACTGAAACTGGAAACGCATTCGGGCTTCTACCCGTCGCTTCAAACGAAGACCAGTTTTCTCTCCACGGAGGCGAGGGAGGCCAATGAGAACTCCAGGTATCCCCTGTCGAGAAAGCTGGGCCTCACGCATAACGACGATTTCAACGGAGGAAGGTCATTCGCGCCAGCAAACATTGCATGCTTCAAACAGCTCTTGCGAGAAAGCTCGTGGGGGGCTATCGTGGTGCAGTGCGTCAAACTTTACTCATGTCGAAATGAGAGACCTCGAACTCCGTCTTGCCCAAGAGTTGAAGGTGAGCCGTTGGGTTTCTGTATATCGATTTCCTTCGCTTCAGATCTAGTGTTTTAAATTTGACGGATCCCAATGGTCGCAAACTCGCAATGCCGAGTGGGATGCTGATGTCCGCGCCACTGGGTAACGGCTCGTTGAGACGGAAAACCCGGAGGCCGGAGACCATATCAAACCATATCACGGCCCTCGGTACAGTCCGATACTGGTTTGTTTGTTAGCTCGAGACCTCGGGTCAACTTCCCTAGGCGTTTTCATGCTGTGAATATGCTTTTTCCAAAATAAAATACACCGTATTGGATCTTGTTGATGCCTTTCGGATCCGTGCCTAACCATTGATTTAGTCCTTATAAGGTTTGGGACAATTCGGAAGAGATCTCGTCCAGTGTACCAGGAGTAGGTACCAAGCTAACAAAAAACCAGCACTAGATTGTATTTAAGATGTAGGCCGGTCTGCATCCGGCCGGGCTTGCAGCGTTGCCCAGTTCCGAGGAAAGCGAAAGTGTTGGAGGCGCAACAAAGTCAGGGACCTATCACATGCTGATTTTGATGGTGGCAGGAATGAAACAGGAGGGGCCCAACAGCCTTTCCAGAAGTCGACACCCAAACCAAGGTCAATGTGGTATAAAAGCAACATCGTATACCATATGGTGCGACGGGTGCATCCAAGCGACTGTCTGTTCACCCCGGAGAGAATGAATGATTGGCACATTGTCGTTGTTTTGTTGATGTGTTGACGTTGACCTGTCAAAGTGGAGTGGGATTTTCACATGCGCAGCTATGCTCTCGTCGCGATGACGTCAAGCATCCCGCTTAAATTCAGGAACCACAGTAAGCTACAAGAGAAAGAAAACAAAAACTTCACGCCGTTCATCCCATCGAATGTTTTTGTCCCAAGTCAATTCCATCCTGCTTGTTCGCTTTTCAGAGTGATCAACGAAGTAACCCAAAGTCTCACAAGAAAACCATCGAATCGACGCAGCCCTCTGTCAAGCTCTGTTTACTGAAATACTCCATCAATCCTCCATCAAATCAACAGCCTTCAAACCGTCGCATGTTCAGTAACGACAATTTCTAAATCATCTTCAAGATGACGTTCCAATCGAGGATTCAGAACCCCATCCTACACCCGCTTCTTTTCATCTTTCAGGTCATCCAGTTTGTGCTGGACAAGCTGCTATCACCCACACCTCCAAGTCCCAAGGCACGTCTTGGTCGGCCCAGAATCGCAGTCATTGGTGGTGGTATCACTGGCGTTACGAGTGCTGCCCACTGCGTCGGTCATGGCTGCGATGTTCGGATCTTCGAGGCCGGAAAGGAGGAGAACATTGGAGGAATCTGGAGTGTAAGTGATCTCCCAACAACGCAAACGAACCACGATGTCTGACCATTCGTTCCCCCTTCGCACAGAGAGTAAACAACACCTCTGGCCTTCAAATTCACTCCCTCATGTACCGCTTCCATCCCTCGGTAAACTGGAAGCAAGGCTACCCCGACAAGCACCAAATCCTCTCCCAGGTCCGCGAGCTCTGGAAGCGTTACCGGCTCGACGAGCGCACAGTCTTCGAAACCCCCGTCACCAGCACCCGCCAGGACCCCGAGACCAAGAAATGGACCATCAACAACGACGCCGAGACCCACGGCCAATTCGACGGCATCATCTGCGCCGTCGGTACCTGTGGTAACCCTAAGATCCCTCACATGCCCGGCATGGACTCCTTCCAGGGCGAGATCCACCATTCAAGCCAGCTGACCGGTAAATCCGCCAAGGGCAAGACGCTGATTGTCATCGGCGGCGGTGCCAGCGCCGTCGAAAGCCTTGAATTTGCGGTTGAGGAGGGCGCCGCTCAGGTGTACGTCCTCGCCCGCTCGGAGAAGTGGATCATCCCCCGCCACCCCGTCGTCAACATGCTGCTGGCGCTCAACATCTTCGGCCAGGAGACGCGGTTCAGCTGGATCCCGGAGTTCTTCCTCCGCAAGCTGTTCTACCGGGAGCTGGAGGACATTGCGCCGCCGTCGGACAAAAAGGGTCTCTTCACCGACACGCCCATGGTCAACTCGGAGGTTATGAACCAGATCCGCAGCGGCAAGGTGAAGTGGTTGCGCTGCGACATTGAAGGGTTTACCGAAAACGGAGTCAAGATCAACCGCCGCGAAAAGGGAACCAACCCCGAAGACCCGGGACAGACGGAGGAGATCGAGGGCGACATGGTGGTCATGGCTACCGGATACGAAAGGCCCAAGCTGGATTTCTTGCCCAAGGAGTGTCTGGAGGGCGACTACAAGCCGCCCAACTGGTACTTGCAGACCTTCCCGCCGCAGTTCCCCAGCGTATCGGCCATCAACTGCACGTACATGAACGGTATCGGATCGGTGGGAAACTGGCACATTGGCATCTACACGAGGCTACTGTTGGTCTTCTTGCTCGATGATCGCACCCGCCCTTCCACGTTCTGGATGAAGCGGTGGATTGACATGACGAGTCTCCTGAAGGGGAGGAGCCCCGTCGGACCGTTTGAGTTCTTTACGTACCTCGAGCTCATGTGGTGGTTCTTCTTCTGCGTTGCTATCAACCCGTTCCGCTGGAAGTGGGCGTTCTTTGTCTTCTTTGGTCTGGGCGAGAACTTGCCTATGAAGATGGTTGCGGCTGAGGACAGACTCCGCAACAGACTGCAGGCTAGGGAGGCGGAGGATCAGGGTACCATGGTGAATGGAGTACACCATGTGCGTGAGGAGGAGATTCGCGGGAGGACTATGCGTATTGTGACATGAGTGTTGACAAAAACCAAGTTGAGGAACGGGATCGAAGTGTGGTGTCGAGACAAAAGTGACGGATGCACAGAACGAATGAAGCAAAACGGTGTCGAGGGAGAATTCAACTGAATTCGATAATGTGATGGCCCGCACAGAGGGCCAAGAATGACAATAGATAGAACAAGAATCCAAAAAATGTGTTCCTTAACCACCTCTTTACCTCTTCTTGCCCCTGTCTCTCCTGCCGCCCTCCAACACCTTGAGTCTCTTCTGGAAACGCTCGCCCATAGCAACTCCACTGTCACCACTGCCCTTGGGTCCATCAGTGGTATCACGTCCACGCTTCCTGCTCTTCTCCAACAGAGCCTTGGTTCCCTTGCGATCACGGCCACCAGAGGTAAGTCTGTTGATACGGTCCACGCCAACGCCAAGATTGCGCCAATCCTCGCCACCAAACTGCATCTTGCTGCTGCGGCCCTCGAGCGCGCGCTGCTTGGCCTTGTCCTTCTTGCCCGCTGTCGGCAGACGCACAAAGTTGGTTTCTTCGTACGTGCGCCTCTCCTCCTCCACCTTGCGCTCCGCCGCCGTCTTGGTGCGCCGGCCAAAGTTGACAATGGTCGTGCCGATGCTGGGCTCGGCCACGGGCGCCGTCGACATCTCGTCCGCAATGAACTCGTCGAGCGTCGCGCTCTTGAGCGGCTTCTTGTCGCGCGCGCTCTCGCGGCGCTCCGTCGTCGTCGTCGGCATGACCGTCGGCGCGATGCGCGGAGGGCGGTACACGCCATTGGCGTCGGTCGACTTGCCCACGCCGATCTTGGGCTTGTCTTCGCTGCCAGGGGCGCCGGAGCCGCGGACAAACGAGGAGATGTTGGGGCGGAATTGCAGGTCGGACAGCTTCTGGCCCGAGGGGGCGGCTTCTTCCTCGTCGCCGGATTCAGCGGCCTCGGACTCGGAGTCGGGCTGCTGCTCGGCAGCCTTCGCGGCGGCCTCGGCTTGCTTGGCGCTGCGCTCGGCGTCGTCGGCGGCGCGCAGAACCTTGTCGATCTGGTAGCGGAGCTTGTCCTCGAGCGGGCGGACACCCTTCTCCAGGTAGAGACGGAGCTCGACGAGCTTCTTGACCACCAGGTCGTCTAGGTCTTGGTCGTTCGATTCCCCATCATCATCACCGCTCTTCTTCTTTTGAGCGCCGGTGCGGGCCTGGCGGAGCTTGAGGAGGATGAGGAAGACGAGGTTCTGAAGGTAGGAAAGAAGGAGCTCGTTCTTGACGTCGAGGAGAGAGATGCCGTCCTTGGGGGGGTCGATGGTCGAGAGCTTAGGGGCGAGTTCGAGGGTGGAAGTCAGAGACTTGGTGAGAGTGTCCAGCAGGGCTGGAAGGGTTGCTGGTGCCGCCATGTTCGTTGCGGTTGAGTGATGTGTCTCGTATCGGCTTCAATATCGAGACAGGACGGTCGGTTTTGGTTGGTGGTGATAAGGTCGGTTTCCCGTTGCGATTGACTGCAGAGAAATTCTTCTGGGGGACTTTTTTTGCCTGCCGGTGCCGCCCTTCGCACTTTGGTGGATTTGTTTTTGGAGGCTTGGCAAGGCGTGCAGGGTGAACGGACACCAAACTCGGCGGCCCCACACCTGCCAGCTGCAGTGGGTCGGCCTTGTTAAGGCAGAGAAAGCCATGATTGGTTCGTTGGTTGGATTGAATGCAATTCCACGGCCCGTGCACTCCACTCTCCTGCGGCAGTGCTTTCAAAGGAACACAGCGCTGCGGTGCTCTGTTCACGGCGTCTCAGGCTCGTAGAGGTAGGATTCCATTCATCGCATCCCTCTCTGTCATTCACTTCGGACAGCTGTTCATCTTTTTGCCCTCGACAAACACAAAACACCAGCTGTTTTACTTGCAACATAGGTCAGGTTCGAATTGACGCCAGTGACCTGCCACCTTCCAAACAAAGTGCCCTCTAGTCACATCCCTGAATATTTATCTTCTCCATCACCAACTCATTCTTAACCCAGGGGAGCCGTCAAGGTTGTCATTCCATTCCACTTGTCCGCCCTCGTTGCTCCCACCCCCGGCACCCCGCTGCCACCCCGTACTTCCAGGCCCACTACAACCCACTGATCGCAATATCCTGGCACCTTGAGTCGGCCATTGTCACCAATTATACGCAGAAGGTCCCCTCCGACACCCTCCCACGCCTCCTGAACGAGCTCCCGGACATTCTCCCGACTCTCGGGGTTGCGGTGACATAGCTATCATACACCCAGAACACCTACCACAAGTGCGTGTCCGAATCGTTCCTCCCCTCCCTAGCCGCCATCATCACCTACGGCCAGGCTAACCGGAACCAAAGACTATCGCTATCAGCTTCGTAAACCCTGTACACTTATCCTATCGCTGGACCGACGATGCAGCTCAAGAACCACGCGCCCTCCGGGGCGCTATTAGCTTCGCTCCTTGTAGCGCCCCAAATCGCATCCGCTTTCTATCTTCCCGGTGTCGCGCCGACGACTTATAAGCCAGGCGAGCTCGTGCCTCTCTACGTGAACTCGATACGACCGGTTGCCGCCCCCGATGCGCTTCTACACTCGGTCGTTTCCTATGACTACTACCAACCCCATTTCCAGTTCTGCCAGCCCGAGGGAGGGCCAAAGAGCGTGGGCGAGAGCTTGGGAAGCATCCTGTTCGGAGACAGGATAAAGACATCGCCCTTCGAGCTGAAGATGAAGCAGAACGAAACCTGCAAGATGCTATGTCCGACCACATACAAGCAAGGGGTTGCCTTTTACGTGAACGACAAGATTAGGCAGGGTATGAGCCTCAACTGGCTCGTGGACGGACTTCCGGCAGGACAGAGGATCAAGGACGAGTTGACGGGCACCGAGTTTTATAACCCTGGCTTCCTGATGGGTCAGGTTGACGGGGACGACCATGTTATCTTCAACAACCATTACGATATCCTTATCGAGTACCACGAGGTCAGCGGAAACCCGGATCAGCTTCGCGTTGTTGGCGTTTTGGTACAGCCAGAGTCCAAGAAGTACACCAAGGATATTCCCAAGGAAAGCACCGATGTTTGTCTGTCCAACTTTGAGCCGCTTGAGCTTAAGGAGGATGGCGAGACAAAGGTGCAGTTCACCTACAGCGTCTACTGGATTCCTTCCCAGACTGCTTGGGCAACTCGCTGGGACAAGTATCTTCACGTGTTCGACCCCAAGATTCACTGGTTTTCGCTCATCAACTCGGCCGTCATCGTCGTGTTCCTTACCCTGACTGTCATGTCCGTTCTGGTTCGTGCCCTGAGAAAGGATATTGCCCGCTACAACAGGCTCGACCAGATCAACCTGGACGATCTTTCCGGAACTTCTGCTCTCGAGGACGGTGTCCAGGAGGATTCCGGCTGGAAGCTCGTGCACGGCGATGTGTTCCGCACACCCTCCTACCCTATGCTCCTCTCCGTCTTCCTCGGTAACGGTGCCCAGCTCTTCGTCATGACCGGCTTCACCATCGCCTTTGCTCTTCTGGGCTTCCTCTCCCCGTCCAACCGTGGCTCCCTCGGCACCATCATTCTCTTTCTCTACACAATCCTCGGCTTCGTGGGCGGCTACACCTCTGCGCGCATCTACAAGTCCATGGGCGGCGAAAAGTGGAAGATGAACATCATCCTGACCCCCGTCCTGGTGCCCGGTATCGTCTTCGGCACCTTCTTCTTCCTGAACCTCTTCCTGTGGGTTAAGGAGTCCTCGGGCGCCGTTCCCTTCACCACCATGCTCGTCATCATCCTGATCTGGTTCATCATCTCGGTCCCGCTCTCCGTCACCGGCTCCTGGCTCGGCTTCCGTGCCGCCGCCATCGAGCCGCCCGTGCGCACCAACCAGATCCCGCGCCAAATCCCGCCCGTGACCACGTACTTGAAGCCAATGCCGAGCATGCTCCTGGTGGGCATTCTGCCCTTTGGCGCCATCTTTGTAGAGCTCTACTTCATCATGAGCTCCATCTGGTTCAGCAAGATCTACTACATGTTCGGATTCCTGTTCCTGTGCTACGGCCTCATGATTCTCACTTGCGCGACCGTTACCATCCTGATGGTCTACTTCTTGCTCTGCGCTGAGAACTATAACTGGCAATGGCGCGCCTTCTTGGCGGCGGGCGCGAGCGCCGGGTATATCTTTATGAATGCGCTCATTTACTGGGCCAGCAAGCTCTCGCTCAGTGGTCTTGCCGGTAGTGTCCTCTACATTGGCTATAGCGCGTTGATTTCCTTCCTCTTCTTTATCCTTACTGGTAAGTCGTGACCCCCTCGTTTAGTAAATAAGCCATTTGCTAACTGATACGCAACAGGCTCGATTGGTTTCTTCTCCAGCTGGTGGTTCGTACGCAAGATCTACTCTTCCATCAAGATCGATTAATCGAACTTTGAGGAGCATAGAAGTACATGAACACGGAGGTGTAGTAGTTATGACGGTTAAGAGGGGGTAAGAGAGGTAGGACAAACGCGAAAAGAGAAGTCTTGCTGTACAACATAGAGGTAGAGTTGGACTGCTACCCTGATCTGGCTTAGAGAAAACAAAGACAACTGGGGATAAATGGGCGTGGGGATGGATGGTATCTTCATTTTTGTGTATCATCATATTTAGCCTTTTATTTAACCTTGGAAAGATCAATATCTGCTCGTGAGAGCCATATCTTAATATCTTCTAGTTTCGCTTTCACATGCAAAGGATGACTTCCAAATCATGCCACCTGCAACGCCAATCTTGGGTATCAAGCAACGCCATTCTTTCCCCCCTTTTCCCACCCATCACTTCCCCAGCCCCGCCCAGTCTAATCCTCATCATCGTCATCATCATCATCCATCCCATCCAAGAAAGTAAACTGACTCCTTCCACCACCACCTCCACTGGACGCCGCCGCAGCCGGGGCACCCGCCCCACCAGCCGGTCCCGAAATACTTCCACTCCGCTCCGCCTCATCCCGTCTCGCCCTCTCCCTCTCCCTCGCCATCCTCTCCCGTTCCTCGCGCATCCTCTTCTCCTCCTCCTCCCGCTCGCGTATCGCCCTCTCTTCGGCCTCCTTCCTCGCCTCCTCCTCCTCCTTCTTTCTTCGCTCTTCCTCCTCCGGGTCGTACCCCCTGGGATCCACGGCTCGCGAAACCAAGGACTGGTAGGCCGCCATGCCACCCATGCGCACCTTGTCCTCCGTAGGCCAGGGGTGGAATTGGTAGCCTGTTAGCAGGTTGATGTGCGGCTTGAAGTCATCGGGTAGGGCGGTTTGGTTGGCTGAGGGAGGGGGTGGGGGTTGGGAGAAGGGAGCTGTGGTGGTGGTAGTTAGGGCAGAAGGGCCGTAAGCGGCGGGTGTTGGGGCCGCGCTGGCGGCGGGTGTGCCGGCTGCTGTTGCGGTTCCGCCGCCGCCGCCGCCGCCGCCGGGCATGGGGGTTTGTGCTGCCGAGTCGACTTCCATTGGTTGTCCTCCTCCTGCTCCTGGTGCTTGTTGAGATTCGCTAAGCGGTTCGCCGTTATAAAGCAGGTGTGCGGGCGGAAGCGTGGTGCGGCTTATGCGCTTGGCGTAGTTGAGGAGCTCGTGCGTGGTGAACTTGTACTTGGGTCCGGTGGCAGGGTACTGGGTCGCGGGTGTGGTTTTGACTTCCTTGCGCATGTTCCAGAGTCCGCCGATTATGTCCTTGGTTTGCTGGTCGAGCGAGGCCGTCTCTTGTCGCAGCTGGAGAATGCGCGCGTGGTTGTTTTGGTGCCGCTCGAGCTCCTTGAGGCCCGCTGCGAGCTCGCGGTCGGCGGCGACGAGGTCTTCGGCGAGCTTCTCGGAGGGATTGTATTTGGCGATTGAGTCGATGAAAGTCGAGAGGGCCTTTTCTACCCGCTCGAAGCGGGTGTCGAGGTATTTGTCCATTTTATTGAGGTAACCTAAGTTCGGAGGTTTGGTTGTTTTGCGCTGTGTTTGGGAGGTCGCGTGTCGTGTGTCTTCGATGACAGATTCGGGTCTGCAGATGAGGACGAAAGCACGCCAGTAAATATTGATCGAACTTCAGCAAAGAGTGTTTCGTTAATTGGACTGGATGTGACCGAGTTAGATGGGCCTGCTGATGGTGGTGAGCGGACAAATATCGAGCTTGAAGCTTCGTTCGAAGCTTGAAAGTTGACAATAATGGATGGTGGGGCGTTTCAGTGCTACGACGAGTCGACCGACACGGGCGCCGTTGAGGTGCGCGCCAGGCCTGTGACGGGACCAGGGATGCAACTCTAAAAAGAGGATCCACTCTTCCCGTCACCCAGGCTTCAGATTGCCGGCCGGCAAAAGCTCCAAAACACACTGCCAGCGACTGCGAATCATCAAGCTTCTGATTGGTGCCTGAGGCCGCAAAGTGATCCCGGCTTCGTCCGGCAAAAGAATCTCGCGCATCGCGACCCATCCAAAACCAGCTCCTAGTTCGAGATCTTGTTGCAGCCATTGAAGCATCAGCTCGCTCGTTCTCGACGCCACAGCCAAGATGTTCGCCGTACGTGCCACGCAGCTCCCCAAATGCCCGATTTTCCATTTCGAACAGCGTCGCATTTCCACGTTGCGACAAGCGATGCCGAATCCCGCCGAACACTATCACCGCCGTATGACGACAGAATAACATGGAGCTAACCTCGAGACTCGCGAATCCAGACTCGCGCTCTCCGTTCTTCGTACCCTGCGTACAAGAGCCCCTACGGCCCTAAGTAAGCGACGACCGAAGCCACGACTCGCCCGCACAGCGACAGCCTACCGGCACGATTTGGACGGGCGGGAAAACAGCTCAGGGACAAGCTGCTGATGCGTTGGAATTAGGTACCAGTACCAGCCTCACATTGATGGCATCACTCCCAAGCAGCTCTACAGACTGTAGGTTACCTTTCCGCGAATTGACTTGGGTTGGAGGTGGCTGGGAGCTATAGGGGCTATAGGATAGGAGCTTTGAGGGAGCTTTCAGAGGAGGGACCGTTTCTTCAAAGTTCAAGCAGTATGGGCGGGCAAGGTCGAAGGATAAGGGATCGGTGCAACAGTGCTGTTATGCCGAAGGAGAGGGCCACCCATTTGTCTTCGAAGGAGCGGTCATGTTCTTGGGAGGATGTGGAATGGACCAAAACCGTGACCAACAGCTAACTAATTTCTATAGCCTCCCCCAAACCGCTGCTTGGGGTGGTGTCGCCCTCTTCGCCGTCATCTTCTACGCTTCCGGCATTCCCCGTGTCCAGAGGGACCTCCTCCAGGTACGAAGAAACCCCTATCTTGGAGAAGATCGATATCAGTTCACTAACAGCCACACAGCACATCCCCTACTTCGGCAAGAAGTACTTCGTCAAGGAGATCCCTGCCTCTGACAACGTAAGTTCTATAACCTTTCTGCTGCACATCACTATGACTATAGCTAATGCGTAATAGCCGTTCTAAATTATCTCTTTGATACCACGGAGGGCATGGTGGGATTGTTTGGTGGACAGGCACCTGCCGTATGACACGGCTTGTATAAAGTACAGCATTTTATAGACAACTACTCCTCCTAGTCGAAAGTATGTGGGTGCCCATAGATCTGAAGGACGAGTTTTCAGCTTGACCAGACATCAGACGTCCCGTAGCTCATGATGGGATGGTGCGCACAGACCCTCTAAGCTCCTAGGGGTGGGGCCGTCATTAACAGCTCCTTGCCAAGACGCATCATCAACACCATGAGATGTCCCTGATCACTAACACTTGTACATCAACTACATCGAAGTGCACGTTAAGCATTCCGAATTCTACATTGTGTTGTCACCTGTCAAATCCTTTTTCTCACGGGGGTATGACGTCCACTCGTTTCTCACTTTGATCCTCAATTCCCTTCACGATGGATGCTCTACGTGTCCTCCTGGAGACCTCTACGTTCAACGAGGTGCTGAGAGGTCTGGCCATCTCCATCCTTCTAGCCAAACTCGTTAAACCTACAACAACCATCTCGAAATCCCAGGACTCCACCTTTATCACGGCCAGCGGCTTCCTGCTCATTTACTTTTTCGCTCGCTCCTGGCTGGCTCTTGTGAACCACTATGCCCCTGAGCCATACCTGGTGAGAAACTCCTTGGCCATGGCCCAAGTTCAGTCACTAATACTCACCTACTGTAGGACGAAGTCTTCCACATCCCCCAAGCCCAAACATACTGTGAAGGCCGCTACCATGAATGGGACGACAAAATCACCACGCCCCCCGGCCTGTACCTCCTCTCCGTAGGCTGGCACAAACTCATGCGCCTGGCCGAGTGCACTCCATCCTCTCTACGCTCCAACAACCTCGTGGCCACCCTCCTCACAGCCCTACTTGCTCTGTCCTGTCGGCGTAGGATCGAGGCCCAGACTGCCATTGGGGCAGAGAAGAGCGCCGTGTCGTTCTACGCTTACCATACGGCCATCAACATCGCTTTGTTCCCCGTTATCTTCTTCTTTTCGGGGCTCTACTACACCGATGTCGCGTCTACTCTTGTTGTGCTGGCGGCATATCGGAATCACTTGAACCGTGTGGCTTCTCATTCCGAGAAGCCGGGGTTTCTTAATGGTCTTTGGACTGTCATCTTGGGCGTCGCTGCGCTCTTTATGAGGCAGACGAATGTTTTCTGGGTGGTGGTGTACATGGGCGGTCTGGAGGCTGCACATGTGGTCAGGGGACTGAAGCCAAAGCCAGTTCCTGAGAGGGAAACCCCGAGTATTTCCCTGGCTTCGGTGGGAGAGTTCTTCGGGTTTTGGCTGAAGAGGTATGCGGTGGGTGATGTTCACGATCCACCAGTTGATATGGCCTGGCCTGATGGTATGTCTACCCTCATTGCCTACCTCAAAGTGTGAAGGATGTTGATGTTATCTTTACAGATTGGGCCTTGTGTCTCTTGAGTATCGGCATCGCTGCTCTTTGCAACCCGCTCAAGGTGTTGAGACAGGTCTGGCCCCATATCACTATCATGGGCCTGTTTGCCGGGTTCGTGGCTTGGAATGGGGGTGTTGTGCTTGGTTCGTTCCTCCTTTCCCTCCCCATTTGTGAACCGCTAGAACCTAACCATCGTGCAGGAGACAAATCCAACCATATCGCCACCATCCATCTCCCCCAGATGCTTTACATCTGGCCTTTCTTTGCCTTCTTCTCTGCTCCTCTCCTTATCTCCCCGGTTCTCTCTACCGTCGCAGGTCTCATCTCTCGCACCAAACGTACCGGCCCCTCAAACTCAACCACCGACAACCCAGGCCTCTCTTCACTTAAACCCACCAAACCAACAATCAAATCCACGAAATCCTCCACGACCGAACCACACGAAACTACGACCCCAGATCCCCCCTCCTCCAACACAAAATCATCAGGACCAGGCTCCCCCCTCCTAAACACCCTCTACTTCCTCCTCTCCCGCAAACTCTACTACCCCCTCTACCTCCTCCTTACCATCCTCCTCTCCGCCTTGATCATCCACTACAACACCATCATCCACCCCTTCACCCTCGCCGACAACCGGCACTACATGTTCTACATCTTTCGGTACACCATCCTCCGCTCCTCTTCGGTTCGTCTCGCCCTCGTGTTCGCCTACACTTTATCAAGATGGCTCGTCTGGAAGCGGCTCGAGGGGAACAACCCCCCTTCGCGCGACTTTGTCGGCGAGATGCAGCTGAAGAATGACGCGGAGAATAAAATGCGGTGGAGGGATGAGTTTTCTGCTTCGCCGTTTGCTACTCAGGAGCTTCTGTTGGCGAGGCAAAGATTCATCAATCGTAGCATCGATGAAACGGCTGACGACAAGAGCGACCCAAAAACGACTGCGAATTACGAACAAAAGAAAGACAAGCAAGAGGAAGAATGGCTCATAGGCGCCTTCACAACCCTCACCCCCTCCCAACCGAGCCCGTCTACCTCCTCCCCACGCACCTCCACCGTTCTTCTCTGGCTTTTGACCACCACCCTGTCTCTTGTCACTGCGCCGCTGGTTGAGCCGAGATATTTTATCTTGCCGTGGGTGTTTTATCGGTTGTTGGTGCCTGCCATGCCGGTGCCGGTGCCTTCTTCTCCTATCTCTTCCGGTTCTTCTTCTTCTTCTTCTTCTTCTTCTTCTTTTGCGTCTTCTACCACCACCAACAGCGGCGGCGGAAGCGGTAAGGGTGGTAGTGGTAATGATACTACTACTACTACTACTACTACTGGTACTGCGGCGCCGCAACAACAACAACAACAACAAAACGAAATCGGAGGAAACCAAAACAGTAGTCTCCTCTGGAATATCCTCCGCAGAACCGACTTAACCCTAGCCCTAGAAACAATCTGGTTCCTAGCCATCAACGTCGGAACAATGTACATGTTCCTCTTCAAGCCGTTTTACTGGAAGACTGCCGCCAGTGGGGAGATGTTGGACGGGGGGAGTGTGCAGAGGTTTATGTGGTGATTAGGTACCTACTTTATCTTATCAAGGTAGTCTTGTTTTGTTCATTCTCTTTGTAGGTATGCATTACTACTACTCTATCTCTACATAAGATATATCTATCCTATCCTATCTGCTCCCATTACAAAGTAGATTAGCCCAATGTTAAATGCAATGACACCCACCCAGACAGATAATGCGTTTTAAAAACATGCTGCTACCTAATACTCCTGAAGACGCGGGAAAAAAGGTGACAAAAAAAAAAAAAAGTGTGGCCCGTACCAGATTCGAACCGATATCTTCCTCTGAGACGCGTACGCAGACGGGGAATCATTCCACGCCAGGGATGTTATCCATTACACCAACGAACCACGGAAAGGTGGCCAGTGAACGGAACTTATATACCTCTAGCCAAGTTGGGATGGCAGGAGTGGCGGGCTGGAGTGGCGGGCTGGAGTGGCAGGCTGGCAAGAGGAAGGAACGGGAGAAGGAGCGGCAGGCGCGGCAGGCGGCGCGTCACTAGGTTGGGGGTATAGTTTCCATTACCCTTGAAAATCAAGGTGTTCCTGTGTGTTCACTAGTAAATCTCTCCCGTAGTCGTCCTGATGATTTCTTAACAAGCGCCGTTGTTAACCTGATTCAGGTGGGACCATGATATACCACCCTCAAGACGATATTCTTGAAGACTGGTTAAAATACAAAATGCTCATACACGCCGATAGCATTTTGATAACTGATGGTATAGTTGTGTATTGTATGATTGTAGCTGATCCCCCGTTCCCAAGTATGATGTTTTCCTTTGCCCATTCACCTAACGCCACCTTTGAGTATCTGATTAAAACAAGAAACTATTGACGCCCCCTTTGACAACATTCTGTTGAGACGTCCTGACCACCCTGCAGTGTACTGTTTCGACGAGGTCTATCCCATATGTCCATGCTGTGTCCGTGTCGCTATGTGTGTGTATGTATTGTCGTATTTTGTTGTTGCTTGTTCCCCTGTCGCAAAAAAATGTTCTGATATGGCGCTATCCAAGAAAGGCAATGGAGGCTTTTACTAGTGTGGACAAGACGTCATCACCCTCATCCTCATCCTTTCTCTTTCAAAGACTCAATCGATCCAAACTCAACCTATCCCCACTCCTAATCCTCCGTACTACCCCCAGTTTAAAGAACTTTTCTTCGCCTGTTGCTGTCCTTCCGCCAATGTATAGTTTTTCTGCGCCAGACACCTCGCGGAAGCCCTCACTGCTGCTGTCGCTCCCTCTCCTCCTACTGTTGTGGTGGTGGTGATGATGATGATGTCGGTTGCCTTCTGGAATGGGAATGCCCGAGTGATGCGAGCGCGGTGATAGAGGAAGTTGTCCCATGACACCACCTTCGCGCCCAGATGGAGAGCTCGACGATGATGCTTGATTGCTCGTGGATGTAGTGATTGTGCGCGGCGTCGCTACAGTGCCAGGGGAGTTCGTGGGGTTCGCTTGGGCAGTCGCGCCGCCTGGCGCCGTCGCTGTGGCATTCTTGTTGGGCTGTTGACCATTGTAGAGCGAAGAAGGTGGTTGTTGGCGGAAGGCGGCGAAGAAGGTAGACAGGAAAAAGGGACGTTGGGACGGCATGGTGGATGGCATTCCAATTCGGAACCAGAACGGCGCTGGTACGACTCCTGAATGTTGTGTCTAAACGGCGGATATGAGGGTTTGGAGGTGAGGGATATGTTGTGTCCCTAGAATATCACGGTTTGGGGTTTGTGGGACGGGAAATGTTTGTGGGAGGCGAGGCGGCTGCTATCGGAAACGATTGCTGGACGGGCGAACCAGAGGCCCGAGATGCGGCAGGATGGTCTGCCAGAAAACGGCGACGAGTTGTCGATGCAGATGCAAGCCCTTTCGGGTTTTTGGACCTTGCTCGTAAAGGATTCTGCGGAACGATCCCAGTTCCCTCGGAGTTCGCTCGGTGCCCTCCTCTGACCTGCCCTTTTGTGTAATTCCTGACGTCGGTCGTGGTGTCCGAGCCCTTGGCCTTGGAGCCCAGGTTGCGCCGTGCGGTGGGCTTGGCTTGGATGGAACGATCCCCGCAGAGTTTCCCTTTTGAGCGTCTTGGGAGTTGGAGTTGGGCGATGTAATGGTGGTGGTAGAACTTGGAAGTGTCGATGCTGGCTGCAGTATGTGGTGGACAGCAAGGTTCTCGCGATGCTAGTCTATTTCGGTTCGACGGATGATGTTATGTTCAATCGCTTGACGCGCTGGTAACAAAGGGCTGATTCGCGGTCATTGATATTCCAACGGCGCAAGGGGTGAATTAGATATTAAAGTGCAGAAAGCTGAGTTTCGCAGACAAAAGAAGCGCAGAGCTGAGAGGGAGTTGAGGTATGACGAAGGCCGGCGCGGGTTGGGAACTGAAAGCGACAAGCAAGAAAGAGGAGAAAATGCACGAATGGTGGTCAAGAGCGATCGCAAAGGATCGTTCGGAACTTTGAAATGGGCGGCGGACGGAAGGATCTTTTGGCGGCCAAGGCAAGCGACAACAAGCGACAACAAGCGACTTGCCTCTTGCCGTCCAAAGCCGGCCGACCGACTTTCTGAATGTCTCAACCTCGTTCTGCCTTGCCCTTGTGGTTGAATGTAATGTTCCTCGGCTGCCGGTGGAGGCCCTCGAGTGTAAGTGTTAGTGCATCCCCCTACTTCTCACCAGATATTGGCAGCTCGCTAGCAGATATACGGCCGCTATTCAGATGCTATCCAGAAGGATTCGCAACTGACAGCTGAGGGGAGTCGGTTGATCCCGGAACGTTCTCCACGTGAACTCAGTAATTATGGGCTGCTGATTGGTCGCAGCGTTGCATGACCGTAGCGAACAATGAAAGAGCAGTGGTCATTGGTTGCGTTTGACCCGCAATCATCTCTGGGATTTATGCGGGGGAATCTGGAATTCCGCTGACACATCATTTTGTTTCCTTTGCAACAACTCTTGAAACCAACAACACACGGCGATGTGCTGATGCCGTCATTGCATTTGGCTACGGTTACTCGACTATTGACATTGCCAACTTACTCGGAGTCGGACGCAATATCACCAAAAGGTCATCAGATACAACAATCCCAAACCGTACTGTCACGCACGTGCATCTAGCGGTCGAGACACGCAAATAAACTAACGTTGTTGATAAATAACTAAAGATGAAGAGAAGAGAAGAGACTAGACCACACTTGGGTGGAAGCCAAGTCTTATATACGATGCCATGGGATGAAAGACCAAAGGTACCAGACCTTACTTACACGAACCATGTACGATCTGGCGGTTGGTTCGGACTTAGGAGGACAACAAGGCACTTCTTTCGGCGGCGGTGCTACATCCAAGATGGCTTTGGTCAGCTACCATGACTCTCTCTGTCACAGATCAAGCGAAACTTACATGGGAATCACATATCCGTGGCGTGGGTTGGCCGGGAGCTTGGAGTTCTGCGTCTTGGTGTACTGACCGCCGGCAATGTTGTATGTCTCGAACGGCATATACCCGGTTCCCTTGGTGTTGTTGTCGATCCAGAGATGCCACTGTTAAACGACAATAAGTCAGCACGACCAACGGAACATTCGACATGTCAACAGACGAGTATAGCCGAGCGCACGCACCTTGTTGCGGTCCTTGTTGTCCCTGAAGATCAACGGTCCCTCGCCAGACGGCAAAGAGCCCTGTCCAATGTTCTCCGAGACCTTCTTCCATCCTCCCGAGAGTCCGTTGGTCGCCACGTTCTCCTGGATCAACCCGTTCGGTCCGTTCTTGCTGATCATATAGAACACTCCGTTGTCACCGGCGGTGATGGTGTTATCCATGCCGTACCCTACGAGGTACTCTTCCGGCTTGGTGAAGGTCACAAAGTCATTGGTATAGCATCGGAGGGTCTTCCACCCGGCCGTGATCCCGTTGCCGGTAGAGAGGACGCTCGAAGTCCAGTACACCATGAAGGCGTTACGCGCAGGGTCCCAGATGGCATCGGGCGCCCAGGTCATGCCTGCATTGTCGGGGGACACCTTGGCGAGCCGGGGGCCAGACCAGTTGCGGAGGTTGGTGGACTCCCAGACGACGATGGACTTGGAGCCCTTGGTTTGCATGTCGGTGTTGGACCAGCCGCCGGGGAGACCGTTGACTTTGAGGTCCGTGGCAATGATCCAAAACTTGCTTCTATCCGGAGCAACGATCAATGAAGGGTCGCGAATGCCCTTGGTACCGACGTTGGTGGTCAGATAGGGTTGACCATTCTTGAGCGTTGTCCATTGGTTGGGATCATTGTTGTTGCTGACAGCCATATAGACCTGCTCGCCGTTGGAATAGCCTTCGCCTGTGAACTGGGTGATTGTCAGTTCTTGAACTCCGCCTTTACTAAGGCATAAGGTACTGCAGAAAAGGCCGACTCACGTAAACATAGGCGTAGTCAGTGAAGCTGGTGCTTGTTTGCCTGGTGAGACATGGGTTCGTGGGCTCCGAAACTGGGGCGGCCCAGATGGGCGACAGCAGGAAGGCCCAGGAGAAGTAGGCGGAGGCTCTCATCGTGAGTGTCTGGTGTTAGCTAAGTCCGGTTTTGTTGTGAACTGGCTGATTCCTTGAGTGACTTCAGACACAGGCCATTGCTGACGTCTTTATACCAACGAGTTCCGGCGACCTCTTCGACCAAACCTCACTCATCGAAACTGCCGAAATTTGTCAGGAGGTAAACAACACCTGACCTAGGCGCACGAATGACAACCAGGGGTTGTTTGAGGCTCCTCGCGATGCCTTGCCTCCTCTCTGTTCGACGTGCCAAGAAGAACCACTCGCTCGGAGCTGTATGAAACAATTGCCTATTTGGGACACACGAGACGTTACCATACTACCTTACCAGGGGTTGTTTGAGGCTACTCGCGATGCCTTGCCTCCTCCCTGTTCGACGTGCCAAGACGAACCACTCGCTCGGAGCTGTACGAAAAAATTGCCTATTTGGGACACGAGACGTTACCATACTACCTCACCAAAGGGATATTTAATTTCCAGGACCTTCGAGGTGCGGAAGTGCCTTTCTGAAATGCGACCTTTTGCATACCTTTCCCACCTGCCAAGACATTTCCGAGAAACCATTTACGGGTGCGCCGAACACGCCCTCACATGCTCGCAGCAGGCAAGTGGTGGAAGATCTGGGGCCTTAACCTTTTGTTAAGAACAGTGATTGGCGCGCTTTCGCTCTTCGGTGCTTTCTTTGACGCAGTTGAGGATTTAGAGTTCTGGTACCGCGCCCTTCAACTACCGATAAGGTTTGAGACGTCTGCCAAGAAAAATTTACCCGCTCATCGATCGGTAAACGGATCTCAACCGGGATATCGGACCAGCTTCACGGGGTGTAGGTCTAGACCCCGGTACATTGCCCTCAAAAGAGTCAAAACCTGCTCTCGCAAGCTCCGAGAATCATGACCGAAAGCGTCCATGATGCCTCGGGCAGCACATCCTCGAAACATGTGTTGGTACGAAGGCCGAGGATGTCAAAGGCAGAGTTGTAAACGAACACACGGGGCTACCATCATCGAGTGATGAAGGATCACCATTCCGCAGAGGTAGCAATGACGGAGACCGTCATGCCATACGTTATGCAAGGCGCAGCGCAAGGAGAAGGGGGCTTCAGCTTTCTTTGCTCACTCGTCTCGTACACCGAATGAGGAAGAACTGCTCTCTAACGTTTGCCTCCTGTTACTCGCGTTGGCTTTTCTTCACCTGGGGGATCTTGTTTTTGAAGTCAAGGACACCCTCACGCAGAGGGGGGTTGCCGGAACTGCCTCCGTGAGCTTCCGGACAAAGACTCATCAAAAGCCTCTAAGAATACTTCGCTTCGAGGTCACTTTCCGAGGCTTTCTTTGTCGACTGGTCATTTTAGTTGAAAGGAATAGGACAGGAATAGGACAGGAATAGAGAAAGGAGCAAGCTCATGGAACGGGACAATGACTTTGATGAAAGAAAAGGCTCAATTAACCTACAGGAGCACACGAGTATCAAGTGATACAGTCAAGATCTTTACAATCACCATTGTCCGCCCCATAGTCTTCCACGGGTCTTTTTCCTTCTCTAGTCGACGAGCCCTTTCGTAAATAACGGTCCATCTCCTCACTTATGGTGGATTTCCCAAGGAAGTTTACTGTACTATAGTATGATCCTAGGATAACCGATGCAGCTCATCAAACCCCGTGGCACAATTCAGTTTCCTACTAGTAACACTACAAGATGATGAAAGCGTGGTCATGTGCCGGTCAGGCAGAGGTAGTTACTCGAGGAACCAAGCGATGTACCAAAGAGTTACTAAAAAGCATCACCACCATCGCCGAACAACCAACCCCGAGGAAAAAGCCGAAACAATGCCGCTTGCCACGCTCATACAAACCCAGAGTCGGTACCGCCAACACCAACACCTCCGGTAACTCGGACTCAACCTCCCCAACAACCAAACAAACCTTCAACCACAGTAATAGTACGTCCACCCAGTCTCCCATCTCTCCAACCTCTCGACAAACACCTCCAACCCCCATAACCACGCACCCCCACCACATCTCCCCCTCCCACCCCTCCCGCACCCGCAAACTCACCCTCCGCTCCCGCGGCCTCATCCCCCTCCCATCCTCTCTCACATCCATCACACCCAAACACACCCGTCTTTCCCCTGCATCCCACGCCCTCCTCCTCAAAAAGGCTTCCCACCTCTCCCAATATGAACCCCTCGTCATCCCCCGCTCCTTTCGACGACATAAGAAAACCACCGTAGATGCCACGCTAGCGTTTGCGCAATCCGAAGCCGGAACGGCGTTTTGTATTAGGGAGGATGGACTGTTGTTGACGGCGGCGCATTGTGTGGCTGAGACGGGGGTGGAGGCGGTGGGGAGGGTGTTTTGGTTGGTTATGTCGGCGGGGGAGGGGGATGGGGAGGATGGGAAGGAGTGGTGGGGGTGGTGGAAGGTCGGGGAGGAGGATGGGGAGGAGGATGAGGAGGGTTCGGGAGCGAAGGGCGGGCGTGGAGGGTTGGGGAGGGAGAAGGAGAGGGAGAGCTCAAGGTCGAGGATTGTGGGTGCCAGGTGTATAGCGTGGGATTTGGGGAGGGATTTGGCGCTATTGAAGGTTACGCATGCCCAACAACAACCGGAGGCTTGTGGCTTTTCTTCTGGAAGGAAAACGGCGGGTAGTAATGAGATCAATTTCTCAGGGAAAGGGAAAGGGATAGTAAGCTTCCCTTGTGTTAAACTACCCCCACGCCACCAACCCGGATCCTCACCCGGACCCGCATCAGGTAAGAAGACATGGAAAGAACCACCCCTCAACACCCCCTTAGTAGCAATCGGCCATCCAGCCGACGAACACCCAGACGATCCGCCAGGCGTCAAGGCGGTCGGATCGGAGCACCGCCGAGTATTACAACTGTCGTCGGGGCGATATCTCGGGATTGCGCCGGACAAGGTCAGCAACCCGCAGGATAACTCGGACACGGGCGCGATGCAGCATGATTGCTGGACGTACTGGGGATATAGCGGCGGGCCGATCTTTGAGCGGGATTCGGGGGTGTTGGTGGGTGTCCATGTGGATTGGAACCCGGAGGAGCCGTTGGTGAAGAGGGCGGTGCCGTGGTGCGCTGTGGAGGGGTTTTTGGAGGAGAATGGGTTTTGGAGTTGATCATTATCGGGTTTAGAGTAGAATAAGCATTCAGGATGAGAAAGTGTCACGGAGATATTTACTTAACGATACGAGAACAGAAAGACTGTGTGTCTTTTGACAAAATGTCAAAGAATTCAATTGTCAAAAAGAGCTGATAACCGACTAGATGGCAAGATTACCTGAGTGCGCCTTCTCACGCCAGCCAAGTCAAACAGATCCCAAATCCCGTGTCATATCCCATACTATTGTTATAGTTCCGTCATCCAGAGAGAGTAGTCATCAAGTCGTATCCCATGCGCCAAATCATATCAGATGATGGTAGTCGCAGTAATAGGTTGTTTACTCATCATCATCGGCACCAGTGCCGCCGGAAGCCTTGCCGCCCTTGCGACCGGCCTCGCGGGCCTTCTCGGAGCCGGGCTCGAAGCTGCCGCTGGAGGCCTTGCCGCCCATGGAAGCGATCTCGCGCTGTTTTGAGAGATTCAGATGTCAGTCATTGTTCACTCCGATTGTTATAACTGGGACAACCACATACCTGTTTCTCGGGGTCCATACTGGCGAAACCACCGCTGTGGCTGGCCTGGCCTCCCTTGGAGGCGATGGCTTGGACCTCCTCGTGCGGGCGGTTGGCGAAGTTGCCGGGGTTGTTGCTCGCGTTGCCGGCGCCGTGGCTGGCTTGGCCGCCCTTGGAGGCGATGGCCTGGACCTCTTCCTTGGGGCTGGAGAAATAAGGTCATGTTAGCAAAGTGTCTTGTAAGTGAGGTTGAGAAGATGAATGATGGGAAACATACCGGTTGGCGAAGTTGCCGGGGTTGTCGTTACCAGTGCCAGCCATTTTGATGGTGTTGTGTAGAGTACTTGGGGGGTGTGTTTTGGTGATAGTTGTGTGTTGGAGTTGCTGGAGTTGCTTTCGTGGTTTGTAGATGATTTGCTTGAGTTGCTCGAGTTGCCCGATGGAGAAGAAGAAGAGATTGTTCGGTTGAAAGGAAGAGAAGAGGTTATTATATAGACGAAAACCACCTGACGTAAACTAGCAACTTGACTGTTGTGAATCTGTGATATCAGATGGTTCTCCAAGTGTTTGCAATGAATGTCTTTGAAACGCCATCTCAACAGATTCTGACAGGCAGAAATTCGGTTCGATCCGTTTCATCGATCCCAATCTGTCCATCTTGTGCGGCAGTCGAGGCAGGAGCTCCCTGCGGAATTTGGAGATGTCAACAATTCGGGTCGATTTGGAGGTGCCAAGCCTTTTCGCTTTCGGCAGCTTCCAGGCTCAGCGGGGTCAAGGCAAGAGCGCCCTTTGTGAGTGGTCAGGATACCCCTGCAGCCCTGCGCTAGTCTACAAGTAAGCATCATCGCGATGGATCGGCGCGGGGAATAAGCTCCCTGAGCCCCACATCAGCCCCACAGCGACATCGCTGTGCCTGTCAGCCCCAATTCATTCAGCCAAAGAAACTCCAAAAATCAGCTCGTCATCACTTCTTTTGTTTTGTTTGCAGTCTTTCATTTGATTTCGTAACAGACGACAAGAAGCACTTCCAAGTCCACGGCGATCCGCATCACTTTGTTTGTTTATGGTGTTTGTTTTCTCGGGTGCTTCCCTTTCCGCCCAGCCACCTCGTAATGGACTGATCTGACTTTTGATGTCGGTTTAGACACGTCGACGCGCGAAACCAAGAAAGGCCAACGCGGTGGGCTTGGTGTTGTGAAATTTCCTGACAACCCACGTGATGATGAGGTTGCGGCTCGAATCATCTGTCAGACTTGATACACTTCTCGTTCAGCAGATACTAGGCAGTTAGGCTACAACTGGTCGAGGAATTACGCCAGAACGAAGAGTTGAGGCACTGTCCATGGCTACAATATGCGATGATGGATCAACGATGTGCTCAAAGGTTCGATGGGCTTCGATCTTCTTTCCATGACCCGGCATCGGGAAATCCAGAGTGGGAAATGCAGATCAGATCGGTGGTTGAGCCGTCAAGATACAATCTAGCCCTGGTTTGTTTGTTAGTTTGGTACAAAAAAGCCAGATCTTACTAAACTTGGGAAAGCGGCCGAGATTCTCGCGGATAGATGCTGTGAATTTGGTAGCTTGAAGTTTTGAAGAGGACGGAGAGATGCTTCTTGGGCGTTGAGAGCCCTGGTCATTGTCGAAACTCTACAAACGGAGACGAGATGTTCTCTTCCTGAGGCCAATGAGGGCTCTAAATTGCCCTTGTTCTGCCCCGGTTCTGCCCCATCAGAAGAACCAAACTAACAAACAAACCAGTGTTGTGTTGTACATTGGATCGAATCATTCCTTCCTTCGGATGTCGGTGACCTGGATCAAAGCTCCCTTCTTTGTTCTCTGAAGAAGGAGCGAAGGGCTTGGCCGAAATCGGAAACCCCAGGAACAAGATGTCAGACTTTTATGTCTCCCAAGAGGAAAGAGCCATCGGCCTTTATTGTTCATTTGGAGCGAGTGGGCATCTCCCGTCTACTCTTCACAAATCTGCCGACTACCTCACAAGCGGGGCGGGCGACAAATCAAATCAGTTATTAGTCTATCGATCGAAAAGCACAGTCTAACCTGTCCGTATCCAGAAATAATGATCATTATGATCCCAAAAGGAGACTGTCCAATGACGTCGCTCACAACTGAAGTCTCGCAACTTCTCAACACTGAACCCACAGCAAAAGCCCGGTCAATCGCACCTCTCGGACCTGGAATCAGTCATTCCCACTTCAGGCTCTGAACTTGGTGCCCTTCTTACCCTTGGTCTTCTTCTCGGCCGCCGGCTTTCCGGGAGAAATGCCGGCCGCAACCTCGGCGTGGTGCTGAAGCTCCTTGACCACGGCGTCGTGCTTCTTCTGCTTCTCGTCCGGCAACACTGGAACCTTTACCGCCCCGACACCATCAACCTCCGCCGCATCAGCAGCACGGAATGCCGGACAGTTGCCACTGGCTTCTGCATCAGGTCCCATGCAAACCGTGGTACTGTTTGCATTCTGGTCAGCACAGGGTCATCAAGCAAATGGGTAATGTTGAAAAGGACTCACTCCTTGATCCAGTAACGATCGCACATCTGTCCAGGCTTCTTACGCCAGAGACTGTCCAACTGTCCAACCACCTTGTTGACCTGATCGACCATACAGCTGACATTCTTGGTATAGATAGACTGTACCGTACCATGGTATCCAGCCATGACTCCCACCTGGGCATATGCCTCGAGCCAGCTGGACTTGGAATAGTGGTCTGCGACGCAAGTTCCCTTGGTAACCGTATCCTTCCAGTTCTGCGAAAGGGAGTACCAATCGTTGATGGACGCCCCGGCAACGTGACGGTCAAGGTTGTGGCTGAGTTCATGGAAGAACACGGACTCGCTATTGCCGCAGTCGCCAAAGAAGTAGTTGTGGAAGCTATCGCTGTAGGCTGAGCAGATGTCTCCCGCAAAGCTGGAGACATAGCCGTTCCACTGGCGAGCCTTGACGGGGAGTTGGCCGACACGCTGCGCAATGGTGTCGATGGCCATGGGCGAGTTGTTGCATCGGCAGACCGTGGTGGGAATGGGACACTATTGTCAAGTTCGAGGTAAGCACAGATCCTGAATCCGAGAAAAGTCTTTTACGTACATCCGAGTATGTGACATCGTACACTTCGAGATCGTACGGGTTGCAGTACTTGTTGTTGACAGCCGTGTCATAGCACAGCTTGGGTACAGTACCCCAAGGCCATTGACTCTTGGTGTAGGGTGCCGGGGTCAAACTTTGGAGTCCGCCGGGCGAGTCCAGGACGCTGAGGCCGCTGAAATTCTCGCCCATCGTTTCCGGGGGACCGTCCGCCAAAACGGCCGGTACAACGGCTGCAAGCAGCAACGCGAAGAAAGGAGCCTGGAGCATTTTGCGACGAGGTGACAGTACGACAAATTTGGCTTTTTGGTCGATGTGTAAGGCTGCTTATCGAGCTACTGCTTCGTGTTGGCCGTCGTTGTGCTGTTGGTGATGCCCAGTCCTTCTTATATCCCTTGCTTTGTCATTTGGAAGTATCACTAGGCGTTGACACACACCATCGCAAACCATCACAGCCAACGTACCTCTTCATCCTTTTTCGGAACAGTGCCGTGAGCGAGGCACAATTTCCATTCACGGGTGTTATCGACCTTGTTTCTACCCCCGCGATGAACTCCGCTACGCCAACAATTCGGCATCATGGCTCATCGGGTTAGGTCCCGGTGAACGAGTATCGAGGTAATACAGGAATGGCAATCGGGGATTTTGATGGTTGCAAGCCATCGGTCGGCCATGTTGTTGCCCTTCTGGGCCAATATCTCGGTGTTGGCCGATAAGTCTCGGCAGCCAACCGCAACGATGGTGATAGTCTTGGGTCTCGCTCACTCAATCTCCTCCGAAAAGTTGGCAGACGTCAATATCTCCGAGTCAGATCCAGCGCCGAACCATCGGTATACAGACCACAGGCTGCATCTCTCCCGATGCTGAGACAGGAAGAGCCCTCGAAGGCTGCCCTTGGAAATTCAGAGAATGACCGATATGAGAAGTTGGCAACTGTGGCAGCCTAATAGGTTTGTATCGAGTGGGAATGCCATCTACCTAGCCGAACGCAGAGACCGATTGCCAAAAGTCATTGATTCACGCGGTGTTCCAGATGACACGACCTCTTGTCAGGTCTGAGGCGTTGAGGCTGAAGTGCGTAGATGGGTCACAAGCTACGGACAATTATCCGAACGGGTATCGTATGTCGCGCAAGGCTGTTATGCGATTCGATATCCGATGCCGAGTACTTCCATATCCAGTTTGCTGAGGATACTCTATAGGCTTACTGCAGAAGCCATTGCCCATATGTCTTTTAAAGTTGCAGTGAACCTTGATGGTTCACGACCTCGTGAAGAAGAACACGGTTCTCACTTCAGGGGCGACCGGCAGATATTCAGGAAGCGCATCCCATCATTGCCTCCCTTAGTATTACGATTCTAGCTACCACGCTGCCCTTGGTTCCGAACGGGTCTCTTCAGTAACTCTCACCCAAAATTAGTCTCCCAGGTTCCCTCTTCCAGCTCAATGCCTGTTATCATCCGAGCATCACCTGGTTCAGAAAATAAAACATTTTCTTTGCCGCAGGGCCAATGGGTCTTACTCCAACATCCATTAACTGCCCAAAGGTAAAAGCCATCCCAACAAACTATATGAACCTCCCTCAAGTTTTCAAAGGCATCAAGAGAAACAATGCAAACGTCCTCAACCATCCATTCATAGGCATTGTATTTGAGTTTAAGCCTTTGGATCGAGGCTGCAACAGGCCGTAAATTTCCGGGCAATGGCTGGTTCCCGAAATTGATCATATCGTTTTCCAGATTCAGCCACACATAGCGGCTCTCGCCGCCTTCCGGTAGACTTTCAAGCTCGGAGAAGGCCTTCTTGTATACCCCGAGATTGCGAGCTTCTCGGCAGGTTTGCATTGTTGCTGGCACTGGGGTAGGTGACCGCAAGTGCAGGCTCCTTCGATTCTTGGGTATGAGGACTCCTTCCTGGTACCTCTCTGGATAGACTGTCCGTTGTATTACAGTTGGCTCCACGTAGTCGATGATCGAGGTCTTCTTGCCCGTAAACTTGATCTGGACGGTGCGAGGTTCGACAGTGAGTTCCCATATCCGAGCACGGAGCTCCCATTGGAGATGAGGGAAGAGATGGAAAGTTGTGGCCATGCTGCTACGCTGCGTCTTTTGTCGTGGTCTTTTTTGGTTGTTGGTGGCGGAACGGTACTTGATGCTATTAACTACATTGTTCGTTAGCACTCTCGAGTGTTCGTAGTGATGCGATCAAAAGGGGATCCCACGTGGCAATCCGGAGTACCTAGTATATGGAGCCCCCCTTGTCTGAATGAATAGCCATCCACGAGGGGACGGTAGACATTCAAAGTTTCGTTTGTCAGGGACCAGTACGAACAAGGTTCCTGAGGTCAATATATTACTAGTGTTCGGGGTGAGGCCAGCCAGCTGGCCTCATCCCTTCCCAGCGGGTGCAAGGCTGGATCCTGGGTTGTGGCCCGTGTAATGTTGGATACTGGGTTGCACCGTAGCTAAAACTGAAAAGTAGGGAGAAGCCTTTGCCTTGAAATCGTGGTGTAAAGGAAGGTATAATTGGGTAAAGTGGAAAAATGAAAATGTTTTTGGATAGTGTTCGGGGAGGCCAGGAAACCTGGCCTCGACCCTTCCCAATGGGGTTGAAAGCAATCCTTAACAGTAATTGCACAATAAATATCAGGCCTAACAATTCTTTTTGCGGACAATTTGCGGGAAGAACGGACCGTACGCTATTGCAATGTTAGCGCGTGCGGAGCGTTGTATGGGGTCCGCCCACAAAAAGCACTAACACTCTAACCGCACGTTTTTTGGGCTGAGCTGCTGTAGATATATAGAGATACCCAGCGGTCCATGGGATGTTTAGGAGATGACGCAGGTAAGAACCAGGCAGCAGTTATTGGGCACTCATCCTGCTGTTTACTCAAACATATTTTCTTGTGATGTGCAGTTTTCTGCAGAATGTCCACGCCTCTTGATAGTAATGTAACAAAATACCGATGCATTTTCAAATCGATCGATAAATGTGATGAAAAGACGTGTGGTGAAGGTGAGCAGTATTGTGCTCTTCTCTATATAGGTGCCAAAGAAAAGCGGATCTTTAACAACACAAGTTAGGCGTGGTGGCAGAGTGGTCTAATGCGCAAGACTAGAAATCTTGTTCCTTCGGGAGCGTCTGTTCGAATCAGGCCCACGTCGCACGATGACCATCAAAAACTTCTTTTTTTCGTAATTTTTTCCGCTGAATATGGGCTGGCTTTGCACTTCCCACTTTTTGCTTCCTTCCTTTTTTTCTGGTCACGATTTTTATCACCACTTGGCGATGTTCTTGGGTCATCTGGCGATCTTGCGTCAGGACCGGTGATCTTTTCCGGTGAGAATACTCTGTCATTCTATTTCTTGTTTTTCTATATTTCTCAAACGTGATGTATGTCCTCAACTCTCTATTTCCTAAGTTTTGCCCTCCTCATGATACTCGAAGAAACGAAGAACCCAAGGTGCGTATTTGCATCCCAACACCACAAGCAGCAATACCTGCCTTCCTCACAAATCAATCACAAGCGTCCCATCCTCATCCAAGTTCTACCAAAGCTTTGCCTTCTCGCACCATCCTTTGCCTTCTCGCTTAGCTTCGACGCTCCTGGTATACGATCCTGATCATGTCTCTTCTGGCATCTTGATTTGTGGTTAGCCTCCTCAGGTTGATTGCCTTGTGGGCTCATGGCACACCGCGTATGCATTGGGGGTTTGACGACGCCACATCATGGGGCGGGAAAGATATGAACTGGACATCTCTCGGAGAATCCTGGCTGCATCTTCTCCGTTATCCGAGCCTCAATGATGAGAATGAACGAACTGATGCTGCCTAGGAGAGTCTCGTGAGCGGATGAGCCGTCAAGTTGGTGATTAATATATGGGCAGATGCTTCTCCTACCGTGCAGTTAGGTTGTGATCGGGTCTTCGGCTCGGACTCGTTTAACATAACTGATCGGAATCAAGAAGGAAATACCTTTGAGGGCTCCATACCTAACAGAGGCGTGGAGAAACCGCAGTCCGTTGCTTCTAGGTATCGCGGCTGCGTAGGGCTGGGGTGCATAGGAACAAGTCTAGCGTAGCCGGGGGAAGCGCGGTACCGAACATTCGGGACTGAACTATAGCGACAAACATACCAATCCCGCTTGGCAGAAGTATAACCATTGTGAAAGTCGAGACCGCGTGTCATTGACTCTTTGATTGTTCCCAGATGGGGTATAGTCGTTGCCAGAGCCGAGGACTCTAAGGGGTTGGTATATTCGCTCCGCTGAGTATACTGTATGCGATGTCTGGGTTCCCAAATCGGTGTCCCGTACTTTCCAAGATATGATTGGCTCTTTTCGATCGGCTATAGACGCGATCTTGAGGATGGCATTCTAAAAGTGTATCAACGAAGCATCAAGGTCCTGACAGTCAATTCTCGGACTATCATCTGCAGAGTCGCCGTTCATACCGCTATTCCGAACGTTTGGAAGAGAAAACAAAAAAGGGTTTGTTGCTAATTCTGGAACGTTTTGTTTTTCGTTATTCTGTCCCTGATCCCCGGTGCAGATCTTGTTTCAGGGACGAGCTTACCGCATCATCGTTCTCTACTGGCGCCTCGAATCCGATGTGGTGTCTTAATCAATTATCGCCTGATCCTAGATATTGTGACTCGTGACCACAAGGTCCCTGTTCATTCGCAACCACACGCGTGGGCGTCTCGCTCCGTTCCGTCGAGAACCCTCCCGAGACATGCGCCCGCTAAATGGATCTTCGGGGTTAAGTCTTGACCATATCAGTCGTCTTGGTGGATACCTAGACGGAGTATTTCAGATACGTGGTGTTTGACAAGCGTGTTCATCATATGTCAGTTGACACGTAGAGGCCTGAGGACTTAGACTAGTGTACAAAGACAATGGTTCCTTTCCATCACCTACATTAATCCAAGTCATTCATTGCAGGAAAGTGGCTGGGACCTCAGGGCCTAGAAATAGTCAGTCTCATCACTCCTTGCGGGCACATAATCGTGTGACTTACCCCAAACGTGTAGGTTGTCGGGAGCTGCCTTTGTATTATGTGTGGGCTCGTTCATATCGAGCAGATCACCATCCACATAGTGTTCGAGAATAAAACCGGAAGGGTCGAACCAGTAATCGAAAATCTGGCTGCCCATTACGTGTCGTCCAACACCCCAGCAGTTCTTGTAACCTTGATGGCGGAGCCAGTCGTGACCTAGCACCTGGGTATCGAAGTCGTGCGTCTCGAAGGACGAGTGGTGAACGTGCATCTTGGGACCTTCAAAGAAGAAGAAGCAGTGGTGGTCTACAAGGTCGTTTCCGCGGTTGAGTCTGAAGAAGACAGTCTTGTTGACACCTTCATCGTTGTGGACAAGCTAGGTATGTGTTAATTTTAAGTTCGAGATCGAACAAACGCTAACATACGTACCTCACTAGGGAAGAAGTTGAAGTATTTGGCGTAGAAGTCGTAGCACGTGGCAAAGTCGGTTACACACACGCCAAAGTGGCCCAGCTTATGTACTGGTGCTGGCCGCTTCTTGAAGCGTTGGAACTCGTTGGCTCCGCGGTTCTTTTCGTTAGGCTAGCAGTCATGACGAGTTAGCGAGCCAATTCATATGGTTACCGTGAGAAACCGACTTACAAAGTTGAACCGCACAATGGGAAAGTCAACATCCCGCGCCTCTACCGGGGTCTGGCCATAGACAAGATGGAAGGGGAACCCGTCGACAGGATCATAAAACGTGACGCATTTTCCACCGCCAGGGGCATCTGCAAGGTCGTATATCTCGGTGGCTTTGCATTCGTTGGGAAGTGTCTTGGCCGCTTGCATCAGATCCTCCATCGATTCGACGACGAAGGCCGCGCCGCCGAACTCGTCCTCCTTCGATGCCTCGAGGCAAAGAACGAAGGGCTCGGTGCCATAACCGCGGAAGTATGTCTTCTTGCCGACCTCGGCAGTCTGAGCGAAGCCGAAGTCTTCGGCAAACCTCTTGGCTTCGTCGATGTTCTTGTGCTTATAGTAGACATGGGCGATGCGCACCAAGTTGATCTTCTTGAGCGGATTGGCCGGGAGTCCGGAAGCCATGATGTCACTGGTTGTGCTGTAAGTCTAGGAGCTCCGTTTTGGAATGAAGTCGTTGGTAGCTGCACTTGGAACTGTGATGTTAGAGTTGAGATGAAGCTTGACAACTTGTCAATAAGATTTTAGAGAAGAAGGGATGGAGATATGACGGTGAAACCCCAAAGAGGGGACCCATGATGCGTATAAGAATAAGGTACGGGGCTTGATCTGGGAGCCGTCCCTGAGACCCGTGACAGGCATTGTCCTAAACTGGGCGCATGCTTCTCCAACTCGGGACAGACCTGAGGAGCATCCGATGATCATCGATCAGTCCCATGTGAAGACAACTTCACCTAGCAAGCACAGCTTCGGTACCCCGTAGTTCGCTGTTAGTGTTCACGCGGGGATCGGCCTCGCAGTGGGGTAAATTGACGGCAGTTGAATATCGGACAATGCCACCAAGACATTCTGTACTCCACGATGCTAGCCAACGTAGTGTAATACAGCCCGCAGCTCCCACGCGGTGAACGTCGGAATCGTTAACGACGAAAAAGCCCGATTGTCCAATGGCGGGTGCCGGATAATCTCAGGAATTGGCCCTGTCAGGCCATCAGGAGGCTCATCCAGAGAAGCAACTCTGGTAGCAACTCTGCAACTTTCAGGCTGATTGAGGCGGGTGATGAGGCAGTTCGATGCCATTGCATGCCTAGACATAACAGCAAGTATGATCAGGAAAAGTGGGAAAAGGATGAGAGCAGCAGCATCATCATCAGACGAACCGCAGTCAGCCACTCGGCTGGTACGAACGAAAGGCCATTGCGCTTCTCAGGAGTTTCTCATGGTTGTTCGTTGTCGAGAGGAATTGGAGAAATGGAAGAGATGGAGAAGTGAAAGAAGGCAGAACACTAAACCTCACCCGTCCTAGTATTACCCTAACCCTGGCAATTCCCCGCCTTACTCAGGTCGCGGTCAGCTTGCCGGGGGCCGGGGGCCACTGCTACCCTCACCGCCCTGTCGCTGTCCGTGTTCACGCGGGGGAGGCCGAGTGGGGTCAAGTCCGTCATCAGAATTCGGGGAACACTGGCACTGGACGACACCAGTGACACATTCGGGCCCTGACAGGTTGTGTCATTGGCACACTTCAGCGATACATCAACTCGACATCCTGCGAAAACATCTTCAGTCAGCAATTGTCAGCAACTCGTGACCAACATAACCAAACTCATCAAACCTCCTTTTCGTTACCTAGCCTCGGGAACGCCCCATCGGATATCGCCTCTCGCCGTCCCTCTGCGCCGAGAACTTCCAACACATACCTGACAGTGCGGCGCAGGTTCGGTTCCGTGATCCGTACGCTGCAGGGCATCAACATCCTCACCTGCATCACCAACGCAGTCACTGCTTCAAGCAAGCTATCCTGTATCACAAGCCAAGTTAACCAACACACCAAAATATACCCCCAAAAATGCCACGCAAACTCTCCAAATCCAAAAACGTCTACGCCCCCGCCTCCTCCTCCTCCTCCTCCTCCCATGGGCACTCCACCACCAACCTCCTAACCCCCTACCCCCAAAACTCGGGCCTGCCCCCCTTCCTAACCGACGGCCTCCCGCTCCCCTCCCTCGTCGTCCTCGACCTCGACTACACGCTCTGGCCCTTCTACAGCGACTGCCACCCATGGCCTCCCCTACGAAGCCTAAGCGGTTCTGTTTTGAGCGACCGCAACGGCGAGAATTTCTCCTTTTACAAGCACGTGCCCATCATCTTGCACTTGTTGCAAGTTGCCGGAATCAAACTGGCGGTGGCGAGTAAAAGTCCTGTGGGCGATTTGTGTAGGGAGATGTTGAAGATGTTGAGGGTTCCCGGGGGACTGCCGACGAGTGTGGAGGGGTTTAGACGGAGCCCCCCCGCGACAAAAGGGGCGGGGGGTAATGCTAATGCTAATGCTAATGGGGAGGACGGGGAGGAGGACAGTGGGAAGAAGAACACAAAGACAAAGGGAGGAGGGTCTTCTTCAGGATCAGGGTCAGGAGGGGGATTGACGGATGAAAAGGGACGTAAGACGATTGAGTTGTTTGATGGCGGACTGGAGATTTATGAGGGGACAAAGTTGAGGCACTTTGAGGTTATTCAAAGACGGATGGGGATACCGTACGAGGAGATGCTGTTCTTTGATGATGAGAGGCCGAACTTGGAGGTGGAGAGGGTGGGGGTTACGATGCAGTTGATTAGGGATGGCTTGGATTGGGAGGAGCTGGAGAAGGGGATACAGAAGTGGAGGGCTAATAGGGGGATTGCGTAGACTGGGGTATGGGATTGTGAGAGATGAAGAGGTATATAGACGCGACATGCCGGCACGGTAGAGTTGTCTTGAGGTTTCGATACGACTTGTAAAAGGCACGGAATAGACTTAAAATCCCACACCCGACAATCTGGTCGACATTCAATCCTCGTCTACAACGTTCCGGTTCCTGCAGTAGCCAGCGGAGGTGGGTGGAGGATACTACCACGCTTCAGGATCCAGGCTCTACTCGTGGCTAACATCCGAAATCTGGGGTACATGTCCGTGTGTTCAAGGGGGCTGTCAGTCATTTCCTGGGCTACCGGATGGGCCGGACGGATTGTAAAGTGCTTGAAACGCTTTATACTATTTATTATGCTTGCTCGTACAAGTTGTATATACTTTCCAACCAGATGTACACAAAATCCCCCAGAGTTTCTAGCCAAAAGCTGAGAAGTGAAGTCTCCAAGGTATCTCCATATGCAAAAGAAAAACCCCCAAACCGCTCGAAGGCTCAAGATCACTTGGGCAGAAAGATTCCCTCTCCTATTTCAAGCAAACCCTAAGCAGAGACCGCAGGAACCGTAGCCCCCTCCCCCGTCTCAACAACCTCCTTCTTCTCGTCATCACCAACACTCAACCCCTTGACCTCCTCAGCCAAAGTTTCAGCGTCCCCGTTAACCTTCTTCTCCACCTCCTTCACATTACAAATCCTCTCAACAGTTCCCACACTAACCATCCTCTGCTTGCCCCCCTCACTCCCCACCGCGACACACTCCATCCGCGTTCCATCAGCCGTCGGCCTCCAATACTTGGGGCCCTCAGGGAAATCCTTCAACCCGTTCTCCCAGCGCACCGTCTCCTTAATGAAGGGATCCGTCTTCGGCTGATCCCCCCACGTAAACTCCAGCTCACCACCGTACTGCTTCGGAATATTCTTGGGATCAATAAACTCCTCCAGCGTCGCCTTCACCTCTGAGGGCGACACAATAAAAATCTTGGACACGGTGATGGGATCGAACCAGCGCTTGATCCAGCCCCACACCGTACTAAAGTAGGAAGGCGCGCCGATGATGAAGATGCGGTCTAGGGTTTCGGGGTAGTGCGCGGTGGCTAGCTGCGAGGCCGCTTGCATGTGCGACTTGAGGTTCCAGAACTGGCGGAGCGAGACGCCAGAGACGTCGACGATGTTGGTGGACAGGGTGATGGGTGTGGTGGTGGCGTGCGCGCGGTCGGGAAGCTCGGTGCACAGCGGCTGGGCGAAGCGGGTGAGGTTCTCGTACAAAGCGAAGAGGCGCAGGAGCTTGGGCGAGGTCTGGCCGTCGGTGACGGCCTTGGAGGGGTTCGTTTCGGCGGCTTTTTCGTAGGTCGAGACGGTCTTGGAGTCGAGGTGGCGGATCTCGAAGAGGTAGAGGGGGATGCCTCTGTTTTTTTTTGAAGAAAGGGTCAGCATATATACATGGGTGTTTTCCCAAGTGTGAAATTAGTACTAACCTCCTATCTCTTCTACCCGTCCATTGAGGGTACAACCGCCTGCTGGCCTCGTACGCCTCCAAGTCGATGGTGTCGTACAGAACGTTCAGGTCGTTCGCCTTGCGCCAATCCTCCGTCTCCTTGAACTGTTTGAATGCATCAACCACGTTCCATCTCCGGGCGCGCAAGTATCGTCTGTGTACGGCATTCAATGGTCAGCTTTCCGTTTCCGATTCACATTCTGCACTTTGTTATTGTGGTCACCCCCATCACCATTAATCCCCTGCGATCCGAATCCTCGCATTGGCGCATGGAGAACTATGCAGTCGCAGTCGCAGTCGCAGTCGCAAGTCGCGGCGCAACACGAATTGCTCCCGGAATCTCAACACAAGGGTAGAGGTAGTACAGGTAGTAGGCAACATACAGCAATGTCTGTTCGTCATGCGAAGCCGGCGGCCCCGGCTTATAATATCCCTTTTCTGCCAGGTAGGTCTTGAAGCTTTCAAGCGCTTCCTGCTCTTCCGGCTTGAGGTGTCCAAGGTGGCCATTGGGGTATCCAACTTCGGTGCCGCTAGCGGCAGAGGCATTGGCGACTGAACCCGTCATTTTGTTTGTCTGTGATTATATCCTAGGTAGTGTATCCTGAGTCGCGTCGTATCGTAACAGCGTTTGTTTTCCTGCAATCGTTATGCGCAAGTTGGACCAGACCGACTTTGATGATGCACGATTCGTCCGATGCGTAAAGTTGGGGAAACGGGCGTTGGAGGTTGCCGGTTGGAGGTGGTGTCTAGTAATTATTTCTTGGGGTATCGTATTAAGATCAAAAGGAGATATTCGGAACAGAGTTCTGTCAAAGAGAACAAAACAGACGAAGACTGCAGACCAGACGAACTGGATGACAGAAAGAGAGAGGAGAGACAGCAAGGCTCTTAGTGTGCAGTAGCTCAACGCCAGCAAGAAATACCGCTGACCGCAAAGCAAGAGAACGTCAGACCGAGAAAAAGCGAGAAAAGCCTCTGACGCCAACGAAGAAAAAGAGAAGAGTGATCTTCCCAGATCTATCGATGCTTGGTAATTTCAAAGACTCCAACCATCCTCCGCCAGAGATCCAGGCATCCAGCGAATACCCCAGTGCCCCCCAACGACACGCCTGCGACGGCCGCTCCATGACCCTCGATGACCCGCTGACTGACCCGCCTTGGCCGCCGTTTGGTCGTCTCGGCCGTGGTATGTCCGCCAATCTACAGGGTTCATGACTCCGCTGTGCCCCCTGCCAGTCTCAGCTTTCGGGACATCAATAGACCCCGACGGACTACCGATCACCGACACCGGGCACAACGTCGCTGTCCGAGCTTGTCGGCATCTCCATCCCGAACAGAAACAGAAAGTTGAGACATCAAAGTGCGTGCTCATTACTTCACTATTCATCCATTATCAAAATACTAAAACTTCGGACTACTATACGGGCCACAACGGCACCAGCAAGCGCGCCAACTGTATCCCGCTTTTGAAACCGCCAACAACCACCATGCCTCGGCCACTACCAATGCTATCATAACTAGTAAAAGCCGTGGCGGTCAAGAGGAGAGCGTCTCCTCCGCCTTAATAGCATCTCGATGTCTGTAATTGCTTTCGATCCTCTTCACAAAACAAAATCGTGTCCGTTCCCCGCTTCCTTGGATGGCGCAGAAACGTCGCTCTACTCCTCCTCTGCCTCAACCTCCTTCTCCTCCTCTTGCTGCTCTTCAGCTACTTCCTCTTCCGCTTCCTCTGCGGGCGACTCCTCTTGGGCCTCCTCGGCATCGATATCAATCAAATTGCCAGCAGCAGGTCCTTCCTGCTCGAGTCTCAGGTACTCATCCCACTCGGGGAAGAGCTCCGAGTCCTCTCCAGGGACGCCCAACACCTTGGCAACACGGCCCTTCTTCTGCTTCTCCAGGCTCTCCTTCCAAGCTGCCACCAATTCGGGTGTGAGGCTGGGTTTGTATGTTTGGCTGAAGAGCACAGCCTCCGAAAGACGGTTGGTGTTCTTGAGGATCTCAATGCAGCCCTCGACGTCGCCGAGGAGCCACTTCGCGCTGAAGGCGACGTTGTGCGCGCCCGCCTCTGTAGCTTGCTCGGCGAGCTTGGCAAGACCTTCGCGGTCTGACGTCGAGCTGTAGACAAGCAACAGCGAACCGAGATCCTTCGCCTTGACGAAGCACTCGGTGGCAAGAGGCACATCCCAAGCAGCGAGACCGGCATCACCAAGGGTCTTCCACTTGTGATCCGCATCAGTCTCTCGCGCAATGTCGAGGGCGATGTGGAGCTGGCCAAGCGATAGCGCCAAATCGAACTTGTGCTCGGGGTCAGTTGCCACCTCAAGCGCGAGCTCCTTGTGACCCTGTCCCTCAAGGAAGCGGGCAATCTTATTGAGCTGGTCCTCGGGAATGCTTGGGAGTAGCTCGGCAGCCGTCTCCATATCCTCGCGAAGGACAAGAGTCTGATACTCCAAAACGGGGAGCGAGAGGGCGAAAGAGGTAACGTTAAGGTCCTTGTCGGTTATGTAGACGCGGCCATCACGCTGGAGGTAACCCAAGATGTACATGGGCTTGTCGAAGTGGGCGATGGTGTAAGTCTGGTCGCCAACCAAGTAGTTAAGACGGTTGGTGCTGTTGGTGTAGATCAGGACATCTCCCAACCACTCCGCCGAACGGATGCTCTCGCTGATGTCGGTAACGACATCAAACGCAGCCTCAACACCATCATCCTCGACAAGACCAGCCTGGACCGCCTCGTTGTAGTTCTCTCTCGAGAACCTAAGTACGTAGGTGCTATCCTCGCAGGCGAGCGCAACCAGCTCGCCGCTCTCGCTCCAGTACACCTGCTTGGGCTCCACCTCAATGCGTCTGACAAGTCCACCCGTCCGCCAGTCGTAGAAGGAAATGCCACCTTGCCCCTTGACACCGAGGAGGACACCGCCGGAAAGACCATCGGCAGCGAAGGGGACGTCGAGACCGCCGACCTTGTTCTCGAAGTTCTTGAAGATCTTGACGCTGGTGGGAGACTCGCGTATGGCGAACTCGTTCGTGCTCGAGTACTCCTTAGAAGCCCACACAAAGTCGAGGGCTTGACCGAATGCCTTGTTTCTCCAGGCGAGCGCAGTGTAAACGATGTACTCGCCGTCGCCGCAAATAGCCGCGAACCGACCGTTGGGAGAATGGATGAGACTTTGGGGATACACCTCAGCGGTTCCAAGCTCCTTGGTGGTGAGCGTGATAGGCTCGTTATCCTTGATATCGGCATCTAGTCTCGTCAGCTCAGTACCACTCACGACACTCAACTTTGTAACTTACCAGCGCCCTTGATCACAGCAGACACAACCTCGTTGTGCCTGGCCCACACGATCTTGCCGGAGCCATCCATCGACACAGCGGGCTCTTCCCGACCAAGCTTGATGACCACCGAACCATCGTCGAAACCAACAGCAATACCCTGCTTGCCCTTCTGATATGACACACACCAAGCGCGCTCCAAGCCGTAGTTTAGCGATTGCTCGAACCTATAGGTGTTGGCGTTCCATATCCTTATCGTGCCCTACAGTCTCGGTTAGTACTAGGCCGCGGGCGAAGGGACGGGTATAATATCGACGTACGTCTTCCGAACCAGAGATAATAATAGGAAGCTCTGGGTGGTAGCAAGCAAAGGACACGTTGTTGGTGTGACCTTCAAGAGTGGCGATCAAGCTCTTAGTGGTATAGTCCCACACTTTCACCGTGCGCTGTGCCCATAAGTCAGCTGAGAAGTCCAATGCGCCGGCATATGTCGACGTAACTCACGTCATCAGAAGTTGTGAGAAGGTAGGGCTTGTCGCTGTGGGGGTAGTAGTCGACGTGGTTGACGCCCTTGGTCTCGTGCGCCTCGAGCTGGAAGTTTGGTGTGGATGAACCCAAGCTCCAGATCTTGACTGTCCTGTCCAAACATGCCGAAGCAAAGGTGTTGGTATCTTTGGGGTTGATGGCGAGGGACATGACGTAGTCTGAAACTCCGTTAGCATGCGCGCTGCTTCGATATATCGGGCTGGTGGCGCCATACGTGAGTTGCCCTCGAATACCCGCACGTTCTTCCATCCCTTCTCCCAATCCCAAAGCTTGATCGTCATGTCATCACTAGCGGTAAGGACGAAGGGTTGTGTAGGATGGACGCAAATGGCTCTGATGTAGTCGGGATGCGCCTCGAAGGATGTGATCTTTTCGCTCGTGTTGTAGTTGTAGACTCGAATTTGGCTGCGATTCCAGGTCAGCCTCCCTGTCTAGCACTAGCGGTCCAGTGCCCGCAGCCCAGGCTCCATGCCAAACATACAAGTCATCGGAACCGCAGATGATCCAGTTCTTTCGCGCAATGAAGCGACCGGCGCGGACGGGGACATCGGTAAGCTCGAAGGTCTTGACGATTTGTTGTGTCTCGTATGACCAGATATAGACGTGGCCGCTGTAGAGGGTCGCTAATAACCGAAGCAGTGTCAGAACTCAGGCCCTCCCCATTGCATCGCTAGTCGAAGTAGACGTACTCAGAATCCATGGCTCGGTAGGATGGAAGTCGATGCCCTTGACTCGCTGTGTGTGGGATATGGGTGAGCAATGGGAACCTCAGATATTGGAAGACCCCTTGGTAACCGGAATCAGGGGTCAAGAGGACAGGTTACGAACCTCAGAGCGGGCAAACAACTGGCGCTGCATGTTGACAGACATGTTAGCAGGTGTTTTCTCATGAGAACTGGTCCAGTTGAAGGCAGGTATGTGATGATGGACGTGTCGGCGCAATGGAGCTGGCCGTCGAGGTGCCGGAACAGCAGGCGGAATAGGGGCAACTGGAAGATCCCAGGCGGAAGCTGAGGCAGGTGCAAGTGTGCGCCAGGTTGCAACATCCGATTCGAACGTCTCTCGGTGACACGGCCATGGTGGTGCAAGCACGAAGCCTGTGTGAACTTGCCTTGACATCCAGCCTCATGTTGGGCGAGTTTGGTGTGGGTGTGTGGTGTGTGGTGTTTACAAGTTGGAATTAGAGGACGGGGCGGTCGTAACGGTTCTCGAGCTTCCAAGCTTCAGGTGGGGTGCGTGCTGGATGCTGGAGATGGTCCCTGACCGTACAAGAAATCCGCCGTTGGGTTCGTCAGGGGTGAAGCTATCGGAAGTCGTGTAATTGTTGTATTTGGTGTATTAGGTATTTGGTCCGCCGAGGGGACGTGGTTGGCGGTGCGAGGATTCGGAATAGAGGCTTCGGAGGCCTTGACAGTTGATGCGACGGACCGGAAATGACAGCGGACGGTTGTAGAGGTGCCCGCCACGTATCTCGACCGGCCGCCTCCCACAAATTCGCGGCTGTGGTCTGCTCGCCGCTCGGGCCACTCTCTCGCTCAGAGGGTCAAGTGGGTACAGCTGCCGGCCACTGTCAATGCGCCCGCCAGCTGCTGCCTAAGGCAACAACTTTGCAGATCTCTTGGCACCCCCTCACCGTCGTTGCATTCGGTGTTTGAAGCCATCACCACCACCAAATCAAGTTCAAAACCAACCGCATTGGAGATCAGCTCAAAGACAAAAACGTTTCACCAACGCACCGATCGCTTT